TGAGAGTTGGTAGAGCCCTGAGGACATTTACACACTTTGGTCATTACAATCACAGGCCACACCATCATTAAATTATGGGCTCAGTGACAAAGAATTATCGGACTCATTTTCTGCCTGCAACACTCTATATAATGTAAATAACACAGCCTTCCTCTGCAACCCCCACCTCCGCTCCCATGGCCAACCTCTGTCTCTCCTGTCATCGTGGTGGCTGGACCTCCCGAGGGTGGTCATCAGGCATAGGCTAGCTAAAGGCTGGGAGCAGCTGCCACCTCACACCCAGCTGATGTAGGTGTAAATATGTGGCTATGGAATTGGGGAGGGGGTCAACGAGAGGGGACAGAATTGAGCTGCACTGTGACGTCACACCTTCTCGTATGCCCTGATGACTCCTCTGCTCCACACAACAGTCGCTGTACCCACAGCCAAGTTAATAGCTGATCTCAGAACTGGGGTGGGGCTTTGAGGCGTTGGCTGAGTCCCATGGTGGTTCATGATCTTTACAAGTGTTGGAGGGTCTGGAGTGACCTAGACTAGTACTCAAACATCAAGTTTAGAAAGTACTTTGCAGCAGTTCTCAACCTGTGGGTCATGACCCTTTCACAGGAAAGATATCCTGCATATCTGACATTTATTTACATTATGATTTACAACAGAAGTAAAATTATAGTTCTGTAGTAACAATGAAAATAATTTATGGTTAGGGGTCACCACAACATGAGGACCTGTATTAAAGGGTTACAGCACTAGGGTGGTTGAGAACCACTGTGCTAAATCCACCAAGGGGAAATAAAACAAGATTATGCAGAAGCCTGTCAGGGTCACTCAGGCATATATGACAAGATTTGTGTCAAGCTGGAGTTCCTAGGGCAAAAAAAATGATGAAAGTGTTTTTGAGTTCCTGGAGGTTTTCCAGCTACAACTACACAGTCCATCAAAGGGTGGAAGGGGTTCAGGAGATCTCACTGCACCCACTATTTTGGAGGGAGGGAAACCTCATGGGTTTGGGATGGTTCTAGCAGCTTCCCTCCCTAGGGGATGGCCAAGGCGGCCTACAGGTGAAGCAGGGTGACTGATGACCTCACATTGCATTGTGAACTTGTTGGTCTCTTACAAGGTACAGAGTATTTGGACTTGGTTGGACCTGGGGTCAAGTATGCTTTGGCTCCTGGAAAATCAGTAACAGTGGGCATCTGTGAATGGATGTGAAGATAGATGGTATAAAGGACTAAGTGTGGGCAAGTATGTTCATGTCTCACATAAAAGAGGTAGAGACTGTTCATTCTGCTTGGGGCCCTTGTATCAGCTAGGCCTGTGGAGCCAATGGAGTCAGGCCTGTGGCATCAGCCCAGAATCTTTCTGAAATACCCCCCCCAGTGTAGTGACAAAAGATGATATGCAGACTTATGGAAGGCAATGGCTGAGGTAAAGCATGTTACTCTATCAGTATGCCAGGCAAAATGTGCCCATAGATGTAATTGTGGCTTGACTATTAGGGGTGCAACCAATTACTTTCAGATTAAATTTAAGGCCTGCTCTGCAAGAGGTACCACATGTGATATTGTCAGCCTAGGTAAAACCCTTGTCTGGGGAAATGACAGCCCCAGAGGGCAGGAACAGTTAGAGTATGTCCTCTTGAAATCAGAGCGTGGGGTCGCCCACACGAGACACAACTGCTGGGAAGAGGGGGAAACCATGATATCACTGTGCCTATATGTGAGTCGACTGTTTCTAGATCACTCCTCACTACGCTGTGGTAAATCACAAGCTCATCACACTGGACTTGGGTGGAATTGTTTCTTAGGTCTCTCGTTGCCTTCTCTATTTGGGGTGACTATAAGTAGACTCCCTAGGAAAACTCTTGAAACATGTAGTCATGTCAGAGAGAGTCAACCTCAGACATAGCCTTCCTTGCCTTCCTCACGGCAGCATCAGACTGCCTCACTGTGTGACTGTCGCCTGCTTTAACTTGTTCTTCCTGGGCAGCCAGGGAAGCCAGGGGCCCAGGTTGGAGGTTCGCTCTGTCTCATGTCCTAGGTGACTTTTCTCCTTAGGGACACAGCAGCACAAGAAAGCCACTCTCCAGGATGTGCAGCCCACAGTGTTTACTGTTGGTCTCTTTTGAGTGCTGCAGTCTTCCCAGGTCCGCGCCAACAGCTCTTATAGAACCTACTGGAGAGTGCAGTGAATTCTGACTGGCTGCTGGCTTGTCCATAAGGATTTTGGGTGATTGAGCTATAGCTTGCTGATTAGTGAAAGTGGGTGGATCTGGCTTAGCAAGTTTTAAAGACGGGTCCTCTGAGAGCTGTTCTGTGCCCCAGAGTTCCACCTCCTATCAAAAACACTGAGTTAACTAGGCATGGTGACACCCGCCTTTAATCCTAGGAGGCAGAGGCAGGCGGATCTCTGTGAGTTTGAGGACAGCCTAGTCTACTGAGTGAGTTCCAGGACAATCAGGGTTCTGTAGAGAGAACATGTCTCAAAAAACAAAACAAAACACTTAACTCATTTTATATTAACTATTTATCTTTTGACTATAGCTTTTTAAAAATTTGTCAATGAAAAAATGTATTAGTAAAAAGAGCAAATACATGTGTTATATTTTAAAATCAGGATCATCTCATAAAATTACTGAGATCAATTTTTCATTTTAATTTCATTTCTTTATGAGCTTTGGTTTTTAATGTAAATAAAATTCATAGTGACAATTCAACTATTTAAACTGTTTGTAAGAAATTGTTCCAACTTGTAATATTCTCAGAATAACTCTAGTGTGAGTTTAAAAAGATTAAAAATGTATTATATCTTCCAATGTCATAACAAGGACCATCCAAGTTATAATTGAGAAAGACAGACATTTTAAAGGTTTTAATGTGTTGTTTTTGGAAGTATTGGGTGGGTCGCTAACTAGGAAGGGTTTAAAGTATTTATGACTTCTTAGGAATCACTCACTTGTTAATGCCTTTTTGGAGACAGTCATGCTGCTAAACTCGCCGTGAACTTGGTATCCTCTGCTGTTTGTGCCACACCTCCTGTGACTACAGGTATATAGCACCAAACCAGCTCAGGACCCCTGTCAATTAACAAAACAGCCATCAAGTCTAATCACATTTGCAAATGTTTTACAAATGAATAACATCTTTATAAATTCCAAGAGGATGATGCTGACATTATGTTTTATTACACATTTAATGAGACATTCTTTTATTTCAGTTTTATAATTTTTTTTCTTGGCTTGCTGACAAGAACTCTTTTACTTGGGTTAAGTATATTTTTTGTAGGTCCCTGAAGAAATCAGTAGCCTTGGATCTGGCCTCTCGTGCAGATGTACAGGTGGGTGCTGAGTGTTAAAATGGACATATCCAATGAACATTTAACCTGGAATCACTTTGGTGACCACCATCTCTTAGATATGGTCCATGAAACAAAAGGGGGGATTGCTATTCCCTTGGGAGCAGCTGGCGTCAGGTGGAAGGCATGGGTCAGGGTTCAGCTGTGTGAGGTGTAGAAGCAGGAAGGGAGCTTCTAGGCTCACAGGATCCTGGCCAGTTTTCCAAATGGAGCCAGTGGCCAGCTGGGTGTTAAATGTGACACATAAACAGGCAACCCCAGGAGCCCTGAAATTTGGTGAACTGGGGTCCATTGAGTCTTGTCACTTTGGATGATTCCACAACTAACCATCACCTGATCACTATCACTCCACAGGACTGTCACAAATCAGAATGCTGCTTTTGTACAGAAGTAGGGGCAGGGATGGTATCTTAAGTTCTCCAGAGACAAATGCAAGTTCAGTGACTTAAAGACCCACCCCCAGGTGAAACTGGTAAGGGAGCCAGAGAAGCTGGGTTAGGATGGAGAGACCCCTGAAGAGGGACAGCTCCTGCCTGATCCATGGGAGACCCTAAAGTAAGTGATGTGCTCCTCCAAGCATGCCCACCCTAGGCAATGGGCTGGACGTCCACACTGCTCAGCCATTGCTTGAGCCGGCCCCCATGGGATAGTAAGCCTGACCAGCTTCTCTGCGCTGGCGATGCTGAGCAAGAGCACTGGCAGGCGGGCCAGGCTCACCTGAGTGCATCACAGCGCCTTTTCAGAGATTGTTTTACCATCCTTGTCCCAGATCTGGGTGGGTGCTCCCCTGTGTTAATACAGAACATAGTTGCTTGAGCAAATGTTGAGTTTTCACCCATACTTGAGCCTCAGATTTGCACCTACTCACCTCTGGCTTGATAATTTCCTAACCCCGGGCTTTAATCTCTGAAGTGGTGCAAGAGCAGCACACTCTGTGACTGGGAGATTAAACTAGTGTGACAGTACTGTGCTGGCTTTGGGATGCAGCAGGTGCTCTGGGAACAATGGAGGTGTTTTCTGTTGCCATCTCAAGGAAGAGTGTTTAAGAGGCTGCACCAAGTCTTCCAAAGTGCCGCTCTTTCGAAGCATGGCTTTGCACTGTTTTTAACTTTGGGATGGGTGTTGCAATTTCCCTGAAAGTCCCTTGCCATCAGTGTTGAGTGAAGACACCCTGACCAGGGTGCGCACTGGCTCCACCCTCTTGAGCTCTTATGGACAGCCTGACACCCAGACCTCCCTGGGTACTACCCTTGGGAGGAGGAAGCTGGGTTTACTGGACCCAGAGATTGGGCCTCCCTACTTGATGGTGGGAGAGCGGTTTAGATGTGTTCACAGCCTCAGAAATGGGGCTCACCTCTTTTGGCCCTCCCCAGTTGGTCTGTCACTCGTCTGCCTGATGTCTTTGTGGTTCCACTTGTCTGTTACTCTCGGCCACTTCAGACTTCTCCCAGATCAAAGACACGTTCCCCAAAGGCTCCCAATTTCCGACATTATCATCTTATTCGATCTCCCCCCTCAAATGCTAGAATGCCCTTTTCAGAGTCAATAACTTGGAGAACCTAGAATACCCCCACTCTCCTGTTATGAAAGTCCAACCAAAATGCCTACACCCATACTGAGCCCTCTGTATGAAAGAGCACACATGTAGCTTGTGAAAGGATTTTCATATATTCTTCTAAGAAAAATCAGACCAATAGGAAGGTAAGCAACTCTCAGTAAGATAAGGAAGGATTTCCCTCTAGGGAAACAATGGTCCTTCTGAAAGCAGGAAGAACTTTTTACCCACACACAGTACATCAGAAGGGAGGCTGTTCCTCTAGGACATGTAGTAAATATGGAATTTAAATAAATATTCCAAAGTGAAGGTTTGTATAAATTTCAATATAGATTTGCAGGAGTGAAGTTTACTGCTTGGCTAGTTTGTAGGTTTTGACCCAAGTAGTTGGGACCTTTGCTGACTTAGCTTCACGTGAGAGGGAAATATGGAGACTGCAGCAGCACAGACGAGCCACAAGGTGGCGCAGCATGGCTATATTTGGGCCCTGAGTAAATTCATAGGGTAACATCCACTGGGAGGGACGATGCTGGAATTGCATAATTTATAGAGTAAATCTGAAAACTGTAACTGAATGTAATGTCTTCTGTTACTGAGGCCAATGTGGCGTATCAGTTTATTCTAACTCCCATTCCATTATGCCAAAATAGCATTTAAAAAGTCATAGATCCCTCATAAAACATCTACACCAAGACATGTATTAACTAACACCAGTACTGATAAATACCAAATCATTATGCATGGCAGTCAGACAGTGGTGACCACACACAAAAAAGACAATTTCTTTCTTAAATTTACTTAAAGGATTAGAGCTGATATAGTAAGACATTGATGGTAAAGTCAACATCAAAAGGATAGCTTTGGCTATACTCAGCACATGCAACTCACTACAGAGGTAATACATGCACAAGCTTTCCAAATGGAGCTACATGGGTGGTGGGGGTGTTAAAACAGCGGGCAAACTTGAAAAACACTGTGCGCACATGAGATTCAGCTAAGCGCAAAGACATAAAAAGGAGCCATACCTAATGCCTACTGCCATGCTGGGCCAGCGAAGTGCGCTTGCTTTTGGAGTATATTACACACAAACATCGAGGCTAGTTTTCAAATGCTCACCTCTGTACATCTCCGGTTCTGACACATCACACTTCACTATTCATGAACACCATTTGCAGCCTCTATTCGCCTGATCATGCTGGTTAAAAACAGAACTAACAGTCTCTGTGGAACCAGCCTAGTGCATTTTCATCCAGATCCATCAACAGTATCAACAACTGGTTAATAAGAAACTAACCAGTTGGTGGGGCTTACAAGTGGTAAAAGGCCCCGAAAAAGTACAGAACGAATGAGTAACACTCGAGCGCTCAAACCTGGAGCTGTTTCCTTTTCTTCTCTGATGCAGTGGGCAGATGCTAATCTATGTGTGACAGGAAAATAAAACATGAACCCTAGAGATAGTACATCTGGCTTGAGAAAATTTTGTCTTGACATGGATTGCTCATAAATAACCTGAAAAGAAAATGGTACCTGGGCCCCAGAGTGGGTCTGCTAGTTTAAACCGTTGAGGTCTGCAGTGAGTGCCCCTCTTTATGCTAGCCCTAAACAGTTTGCCATTTAATGGCTGTGTTTTCTAATTTATAGGAAGGCACATTTTTTTTTTTTTTAAAGGAATCTTACCCGGGCAAAATAACCCAACAGTAATACCTGCAATAAAAAGCTAGCCTAAGAGGTTATTTTTAATAACTGATCTTTACATTTTTTGCAGCTTAATTCTACTCATCTCCCTAAAAATCTTTACACTACACAGATGAGTTAAGAACTTGCTTTTAAAAACAAACTCAGTAACATGGAACAGAAGAACGAACATAACAGGACAGTCTCCTGGCTTGTTCCTTCGCTAATATATGTCTGTAGCATACACTGAGGAATCTCATGATTATTAGGTCTAAATTTATGGCATAGTTTTCCTAATTATGTGGGTAGGAAAAAAGACTTAAAAATGGGATTTAACGTCTGAAGGTACTTGAGCTGTCCTGCTTTAAACATGAGCTTTCACAGTATTTCCATAAGCACTTCTGCTTCATTAACCTTTAGCTTGACTGTAAGAACTACGGTCCCTGGATGAGCTGATAAGCACACATCCAGGAACTCTGCAGACACTGAACCAAGGAGACACAAGAACTGGGAGGGGTTCACTCTTCCCTTGTCTCTGCTTGCTTGTGTTCCTGAATACTGACTCAGACTTTTAAGAGGATTAAGCCTTTTTGTTTGAGTGGGTAAGGTTGAAATTCTATAGTTTTGCAATAGTGATTCGGAATTAAACCTTTATGAGACGATGGTAGGATGTGTAACTTATGTTGACTTTGTTTTTCTCTGAATCCTGAGGCAACTACATTAAATGCAGTGAATTAATTTTGACCACAAGAGAGGCCGTTTTCTGATGCGCCTTAAACTACACTTTTATACACAAAAGAATTAAAGAGTGACTACACAACTAGCTTTATTACACTGGTTTTACATAAAGAAGCCAGATTTAGTTTCTTTGCCTACCTAAAACACATGCATCCAGATTATTCTAAAACATGCTGTAGAAAAGTCTATAAGATGAGTTTTATGACTGGCTTTCTCTCTCAGGACAAAACTGATCCATTATATACTCCTTGAATGAGTTTTCATGTGGTATCCATACAACCATCTCTATTGGTAGGGGCACTGGCTCACTGGGACATTGTCTGAATGGGGTTCAACATGCAAACTTGCTTTACTGAGGTTCTTCCATAATCTCTCATGCTCATTCATGAACTCACACTGGATAATTATCCCTACCCCCAGAGTGGATTTCACACTACAAAGTTCACAGCACCACTATTTGATAGGAGGAAGGTTACAGCTAAACATGAACACAGTAACATGACTAGACTACTTCTGTGAGAAAATGAAAAACTTAGTAAGCGTTAATCTCCTGACATACATACATAGAAATTCAGTCCTGAGCGGACTGGCTTTGATGTCCAGCTGAAGGGTGGTGATGCCATTGCATGTAGTGTGACTTCTGGTCTGTGACTGCACCTGACCTCTTCAAGGCTGACTTTCAATTCTGCCATTTTCCCAGTGTCAGGTTGTTTTTGCCAGGTGGGCAACCAAGTATGAGAGGACAAAAATGTTTACTGTCTCACAAGGATTATACATGTGAAAAAACTCAGAAAGTATTAGCTATTATAAAAATATAAATGATAATATGTATCAGCAAGTGTAATATAACCCCATTCTGAGAGTAAAAAGTAAAAACTGCATCCACCCCAATGAGTATCGCTCCTTCTTTGCCGTCTGTTTGGTAACTCTAGGAAGTGTTAAGTGTGCCCAAGCTCTGGGACTGCAGAGCTTTCCCTGTGAGCACACTCAGTGGGTCAGCCACTAACGGAGAGTCACTTCTACCTTTAGCCCCTGCCTCCATGTCACCCTGGGAAGTTAGGCACAGATACGTTAACGGCTTTAGTGCTAAACCCTGCATATCTAGATTGCTCATTAACAGAGCAACCAGGACTAGGTTTAAGATACTCCCAAGTCACATGTAAAACTACCTCAGAAATGGCAGATACTAAAAATACCATCTTTTGTTGGGTGTGACAGCACATACCCAAAGTCCCAGATCCTCATGGAGCTGGGAGAGGAGGATCACTTGAGCCTACACAACAGAATGAGATGCGTGGGTGGGTAGCTCAGCGGTAGAGTGAATGTCTAGCATGTACAAGGCCATGGGCTCAATCCCCACCCAGTAAATTTTACAAAACCCTACGGCTTCTTCAGCTCTGTACAACATGGCCCTCCATCATGTGGCGGTTATTGAGATCAGTGTGTGTTTGGGTGCTGCTTGTGCCTGTGGCGGATGCTGCCCTTCAATAAACACCTCCTTACTATTCTTGAAAATAAAAAGGTGGAATCAATTAAAACAATTTTAAGCTAAAGACATACTGTATTAAAGTGCTTCTACAACCAACCTTTGGGATCACCTGTCCTGGTGTCTGTCTATGTTCAGAAAACACAGCTTACACAGCAATTTTTAAATGCTTGACACCGTTTCATGGGCTGGCCTCGTCAGCGCCCTCTACAGGGTTGGTGAAACTGACTTTGAAAGAGGTTATCAACAATGACCAGAATTTTGTGAGGTTTCGGGTAATATTAAGAAAATGGGAATGTCTACATTGCTCATTTTTCAAGTTCATCCCTTTCTTCAGTAACAACTAGCAACGTTGATAAAAACAGTAGGGAGCAAACCAATATTCTCTAGCTAGTAGAACTAGAAATGAACCTGTCCTCACTATTTCTTTTGCCAGATGACAAAATCTGGACAGTCTGCCCTGTGGCACTTTTAAATGATGCTGTTGGCTGAGGAGGGGCTAGAACTTTGCACTAGATGGCTAGTCTCATTAAAACCAGCACAGCTGTACTACGCCACAGCTCATTTGAATTCCCTTTTCTATGCAGCAAAACAAAAAGCTTTGTATATCTCAGACACACGTTTTCTTCAGTGCAAACATCCAAGCAGCACAGAGGACAATCAGTTCATGTAGTGCTTGAAGGAAGATCCCAGATACTCTGGAACGGAGATGGCCCAGCTGTGACTTTGTCCTTAAGGGCAATGGCTATCTTCAGGGAGTGAAGATGATTTTCCATCTGAAGTCACACACAAGTGTTTTAGCTTTCCTTTACAGGTCCCACGAAAGCTCTGCAGGAGCCAGAATTCACTGCGGCATGTAGCCACCTTGTCTTACAGTCTGTGGCAAGTAACTTTTAGGAATTTCTTCATCCAGTACAGTCCCCATTCCAACGGATTCAAACTGCTCTACTTGTCCATCAGTCCCTGCGCCAAGAGCACCTGTGGCAGGACCTTCCTGAAACAGCCTATGCTGCTCAGATCCACAGGGCTTTGAGATGGGATCTGAAACCTGCTGCTTCAGTCTGACAAAATCCTCCTCACTGCCCGATGACACTTGGTTTGACCTTTCAAAATGTGGAATATCTGGACTGGCTTCAGGTTGCCTACAGTTCTGTTTGAAATACTGTTGCCTGGGCAAAATCTCATCCCTGCTGTCTACAGCATCTGCTAACTGCAGATCCTCTGGCCGCTCCTCGGAGTCTAACAGGGGCTGGGTGGACTCGGATCTCGAGAAGACTTGGACTGAGGGGACCTGGTGCCTGTAGCCACTGTGCACCACAGTGGAGTACTGGACAGTGCTTGCGGTGTTCTGGGCAGACTCATTCTCCTCATTGCTGGAGATGCTGGGCCTGGAAGATGACATGCACGAAGACCCTCCAATGCCACTGCTGTGACCTTCTGTACTTATTTTTTCCTTCTTGAACAGGTCCAGTGATTTCAGGTCATCTGGACAAGGCTTTTTGTTGTTTGCTTCTATTTCCACAACACTCACATCAGTGAAATTGCCATCTGAGTACATTTGATCTTTGGAGTTAAAATTATGCTAGAAAAGAAGAAAATGAATGATTATTTTGTGCATATTCCAACTTTGTTACCCACTGAGCCATCTCTCCGGGCCCTCTATTGTTCTAAGAGTTGGTGCATCTTTGAAACTTTCAGTGACTTTGGGGTGGAACCATCCCTCCCAGCAAGTCTCTCTAACCAGCTGAACACGTCCGAATCAGTCTGTATGTACAGTTTCCAAATTAATATTGTTGTAAGCTATAAATAGGTTATAAATAGTACTGAGTGTTTAATACTTATAGTAGGCCTAGAATTAAATACGACAAAATAAAAGCACTTTGGAAACATTAAAAACTCAAATTTGAATAACTGAGGTTTTGTAAACTATAAAATTTTACAGGTATAGTTTGTTAAAATTAAGTTCAAGGATTACTAGGGGATAACAGGAAGGACTACCCTGTAGGTTGTATGCTAAGTATGAAGTCTAGTACAGTTCCCAGAACTCAGAACATTAGCCAGCACTTAATATCCAGTCCCAGATCCCTGTGTAACAGGTTCTCTGTTTCCATTTTCAACAAAGTATTTGTTGTGCTTACTGAACAGTGTGAGGACTGCTGGCACAAACACTATGCTAAATGCTGTGCTAGGATGAACAGCGATTACTCATGACTTTGACAATTGCTATTTAAGAACTAATTTTTAGCAAGTATGAATATCTTTTAGTTAAACTTTATTTATTTTTTTGGTTTTTACGAGACAGGGTTTCTCTGTATTGTTTTGGAGGCTGTTGGTCCAGCCCGACCTCGAACTCACAGAGATCCGCCTGCCTCTGCCTCTCAAGTGCTGGGATTAAAGGCGTGCGCCACCACCGCCCGGCTTGGTTAAACTCTATAAACATCCTAGTAAATAAGCCTGCATCCTAGAAACAATAAGAAGATAGTCTCTTACCCTTGGGGGAGTGTGAGGTGACCACTGAGCAATATGACTCTTTGAAGGATCTGGAACATTAGGCCAGATGTGTTTTTTAATTCTGAAGAGAAAAGAAGCAAGGCATATGTAAAATCACATGTAACAATGAGAAGCTTTTTTCTGTCAACCAACAAAAATAATCTGTTATCCTAAAGTCAAAAAAGATACTGCTAAAAACACATACAGATTGTCTGCATTCCTAATGGAAAATGGTTATCAAGACTAATTATCAGTATTCAATTAAAAAAACTCTGATCAAATCCTCTAATAAAATCAATTAAGAACTTCAGGTCCTAACAGGAGCATTGAGGAGAAAAACTAACATAACAGCATGAATGAGCTCACAATTAGTTACATGTGAGACTTACAAAAGATTGCAAGCCACCTGATTCCATGCACATAAAATTCCAGCGAAGGCAAAGCTACAACTGGGAACAGATTAGTCTGTGTGGGGCAGTGACTGAGAGGACAGGCTAGGAATGATCGAGGAAGCTCGGTAGGAGTGGGGATGCATGGAGGTGAAGCATCTGTGCACCATCAATTCAACTGTAGACTTCAAACAGTTAAATGCTATTATGTAAATAAACTGCAGCTCAAATGTGAGAAATGGTACTTACAGGTCTCGTTTATTAAAGCAGAACAAGACTCCCAGAAGAGTTGTCAAGAGGAATGCTAAGCACACAGGCACCACTATGGCTTCTATTTCTCCTTGAGCTAAAAACCAAAGAGTAAATAAGAAGTAACTGTTAACACATACAAAAGAGGAAAAAAATATAATGTCCTCACTGGATACTGCTTGATTTTCTGTTTATGGAGACAGTGTCTCACAATGGATCCAGACTGACGCAAGCTCTCCTGTCTGTCTTCCAAGTGCCTGCACTGCAGATTATTGACAAAATATACACTCCTGTACCCTGCCCTGTTGGTTTTCAGGTTTTGAGGTAGCCTTTCTTCCTCTCTGTGTCCGTGGTTAATCCCAGCCATTCGTCCTTACATTGCAAACCTGGTTATATAGTAAGCATAAAATACACACTGGCTGGGAGAATGAGTTCAGTTTACTGGGTGATAATTATCAACATGATAAACATCTGCTATAGGTCCAAGAATTTAAGGACGGATGCTCACGAGGCATGAGGGAGGCACAAGTAGACAATTCTTCTAATGAGCAGCAAAGCTGAGTGGGCATAGTGGTACTTGCCTGTAGTCTTAAGTATGCAGGAGGTGGAGACAGAGAGGATTGGGAGTTTGAGGCCAGACTAGTGACTGGGCTTTTGAGACACTCTCAAAAACAAATATTTAAAGATACAAACAAATCTGAAATTCCTATATACCACACAAGTCTCCATATGCTTTTAAAAGAGGACTTCAACAAATGAGTCATTGATGGTAAAATGTTGGGAGACATTTTAATTGATTTTCCCTTGTGGTAGGTTCCTGGTTAACTCCTCCAGTTATCTCCATCTGCCCTTTATCCTGGTGCTGAGAACTGAACTTGACCTGCTATATGCTATGCTTGTACTCCGTCATAGAGCTAATGCCTTTTCATTACTCTTTTATAGGAAAAAAATAAGGAATACAGTTTACTTAGTTTTATTTTCCTATCACACATATCCCCTTGTAAGTAACTCTACATCCCATGAAGTCTAGTATTTAAAAAAAAAAATCAGACCAACACTGGGAATAAACTATTGGCTTCCTTTTTTGTCTCCATATGCAGCCCAGGATGACCTTAACTGGTGATCCTCCTGTCTCACCCCCTCCCCCAGTACTGTTGAACATACATCATCCATCATAGTCACTCAAATGTGAATGCTTGAGTGCTAAGGATCTCATGTGCAGATTGACTACTGCTAAGCCAAGTTCTGTGTCTCATGTGCCTGTCCTGGGCCCTGTGCATGCTGTTCTCAAGATGCCTGCTTCGTCCTATTTTCCACATCAAATCTACAGCTTTGTCTTCTCCAAAAACCTTCTTTAAAGGTGAAACACCCTCTGCTGATGGCTTTAGACTTGTATTGCTTATGAGTTAAATTGCCCAAATAGCTCTGTTTTAACTACTTTCGGTGGTATCTCTTCAATTAAGCTAAATTCTTTTGGGACAAGACTCCCATGCCATTTGAGGAAGCTGTAATAGAAACTGCAGATAGGTAACCACCACCAGAACAACATCAAATAATAGTTTTAGTATTACTGATCCATTTAAAAATGTAAATGGAGAAGAGACAATTTGAGAATGGAATTTGGGTAAATTCTTATTCCCTTTTATAATATACTATAAAAATTTCCTATAGTGAATATGACTTTTGCAACTAGGGAAATACTTTCAAAGTTTTACTATTTTTTTCAGTGTTTGTTTCAAATATTAAGTGTTATGGATTTATTAACATGTCATCACATGGGATCTCATTCCAGAAATTACATTAGTTTTTCCCTTGTAGAAAAGATCAGGATTTTATGTAGTCACACTCATACATTATCTTTACATTCAACCCATAATGAACATAGACATTACTATAGACCATTCCCCTGGTGGCATCTGGGGAATTACAAATACAGTTTCAATAAAATAAAAGAAAGTCTATAATGATTCAAAAAAGAACATATTGTAAGTCTTCAGGAAGGCTACAGAACAGCCAAACATAAGGGTAAGGATGTAAACAAGGACAGTTCACTTAGATAGGATGGAGGTCAAGACAATAATGAACCTCTAGTCAAAGGGGCGAGCTGATTCCAACAGGAACAAAGCACAAGCAACACAACTTTCTTCGATTATGCGAGGGAAAAATGGTTTTCACAAATAGTTGGGTGGCTGTGTCAGGAAGAAGGTAGTTAAAGCTATGTAGGGGTGTCTAAGAGGGCACATAAGGAAACTGGACCAGTAGCAGAGCTCTGCAGAATATAGAACTTGTAAAAATGCAGTGCAAGCAGGAAAACAAAAGCATGGCTAAAAGAACCAGGGACAGCAGAGAGCTAAAGCATGGAAAGGCCAACGTATTCCAGGCTGAAGACTAGAAAATAAGGTGAAGTTAAAAGTCAGCACTGGATAGGACTTGGGTCCTTGATGGGTGACACAGGCAGCCTCCCCAGGAGTGGTAGGGCTGGAAACTGACTTCAGCAGGACAGTCAATGTGCCAGACTAGTTTCTCAAGCAATCTGTCTGTAAGCAGAAGGACCAAGTATAGAAAAGATGGAGAGTTGACACAAACCACCTTGTGAATAAGAGAACCCACAGAGAAAGGTCAGTAGGCTCCTGAGATTTACAGTACAGGTGGCTCAGCCACCACAGTTAAGCAGGCTCCAAAGCAGGAGGAATCCTATAAAGCATCCACCTAAACCAGATGAATAGCATAAGCGTCCTAATGTCTACACTCCATTCTATGAATCTCACCCCTACACACACACACACACACACACACACACACACACACACACACAGAGCCAGGGCTTTGACGCTGTTAAGCACTCTACCACTGGACTGCGCCTCCATCCTCCAATGGTGCACTTTTAAACAATATTTTAGCATAGTAAATCCACTTCTAGTCTAATTAAACTTAAAATAGATAAAACGTCATGGCTTCTTACCAAACTTTGGTGTTGTAAACGTGAACTCTGGACCATCTTTTCCACCTTCATCTGTGTATGCTGCCATTCGCACCATGTACAACGTATCACTACTCAAAGGGGACAGTGTATATTCTGTGTGGGAAGAATCCACGTTCACAACTGGAAGAAAAAAATGATCTTTTATCCAGTATTTCTGACTTATCTGTCATACATTTGGCATTGTGAAGTATTCAAAAGGAATAAAAAACTTTCCCAGCAAGCATTTGTAACTAAAAACTCTTTAAGGATAAAACAGTATATATGCAAAGTTTAAAATTGCAAAATCAATTATTTACTCTGTATGTGTATGTGTGTGGGGGGGCTGTGTGTGAAGATCAGAGAACAACTTCTGAGAATCAATTCTCAATTTGCTCCCCTCACCCTCCACCAGTGAGGCCTGGGAGTTGAACTGATGTCATTGGGCTTGGTGGCACGTGCCTTTACCTGCTGAGCCATACTATCAGCCCACAATACAGTATTTAAAAGAATAGAATCATAAACACACCTGTAAGAGACATTTGCAAATGTCTGCTAAGGATGCTATATACTATGACACATTATATGAGAAACTAGTATTTAAAAGCTTAAGAAAAAGTTTTAGTAGCATATTCTTAGTAATTGCTACAATTTTATTACCAATTTCATTTCCAACAATGGTTCTATAAGATATAGAGTAGTTTCTAATAAATCCATTCTGGTCATCAACAGGAAGTTGGTCCCATTCTAAGACAGCTTCATTTTTCCCCACTTTCTTTGTCCGAACTGTAGGTCCTCTAGAAGGTGCTGTAAGACAGTAAATGCATCTGGTAACTGAAAAGCATTACAGTTTAGGAAATAACACACGTTAGTAAAGAGTCTATTAATAAAATTATGTGAGCATAATAAGAATTCTTACTTAAAGTGATCAAGTGTTTTTGTCAATGTTAAAAGCATTTTTCAAAGCAAGTAAGGGTAGACTCACCGGCTTGTTTGAGGTAGGCCTTTACCGACTCAGAGCTCCCAGGCCCACTGGTAAACACAGGTGTCACAGTGATCAAATAGCATTTGCTCTCCAGGAGGCTTCCTGCAAGAACAGAGAAAGTAATTCCTCTCCCCAATAAGAGATTTAAATTCCATGGTTTTTACCTTATAATTCATGACTACTTAATTTCCCTTTCTTCTAAAAACTGCAGTTTTATATATAAAATTGTCTTTTGCAAACTTTGTTTAATGCAAACTTACTATAGTAAAATGTGGTCTGTGTAAGCCTAGCATTCAGATGGCTGAGGTGGGAGGAGGATAATGAGCTGGAGCTATTCTGGGCTAAACTGTGAGTTCAAGGCTATGATGAGCTATCTGGGTGATAAACAACAAAACTAAAAGGCTACTTTTATTGTCAATACCATGAACCAAAAAGTGTAAAAAGTACTTATGCTGTTAATACAAGTAGACTGCCTTTATGTTCAGGACGAGTAAAACACTTCAAATTATTCTGTGACAGCTTAGGAGTTCTAGCTGATTTTGAGACCTGTTAAGGTGTCAATAGTAAGACCCTAATACCGTGGGACGAGCACTAATACACAGCTGTGTGTGGCCAGGGATGTCAGGAAAACAACAGTTAAGGATGCTTCTTGAATACAGTACTTTGTTTATTTCTAATCCTTCCATGTGATCACAGTAGTTTTAGCAGGCAACTAAAGTATGGTTTAGCGGGCAACACTTAAAATGGCCTTTTATAAAACATGTCTCAAACATCCCAGAAAATAAGATGGTTATTAGACTTTATACCTTCAACATGAATTTCTGTTTCCCTCATTAACATCCATAAAATTATACAAATCTTTGTCTTCCTAAAAAGAGCAACTTTACCTTTTTTTGATACCCATTACCAAAAAGTGATTTTTGCTGTAATGACACTTCCAGGGTACTGGGCCTTGAATCCTTGTCTCTAGGAGATGACCCTATGCTCTTTTTTGTTTGTTTGTTTTTTGAGACAGAGTTTCTCTGTGTAGCTTTGGAGCCTGTCCTGGAACTAGCTCTTGTAGACCAGGTTGGTCTTGAACTCACAGAGATCTGCCTGCCTCTGTTTCTCAAGAGTTGGGATTAAAGACATGTGCTACCACTGCCTGGCTGACCCTATGTTCTTTAAGCTCCATGGTTTTTACATTGTAAGGCTGACAAAGGATATACCCAAGCTTGTTAACACTGAACAGCAGGGTGGTAAGAGCCAAACATGCCACTTTACAAGTGTAGGTGGTTTACAGCAGCCACCCCTGCTTAGGGTAACTCTAATGGTCACCCTTCTTTATGAGTAAAAGGACACACATGGAGTGATTTTTCCTTAAAGCTATTATATGACTTCACAACCACATAGTAGTAGGTAGCAGCTACAATCACACAGAAAAGTGCTTTTTGAACCCTGCAATATCATTACTACTGTATGGTAGAAATGGGAAGCAAAGGGAAGCCTGTGTTCTGGTACATGATGGCCCTACGAAGTTAAAGTAGGCAACAATTTTATATCTGGAGGATTAGGAGCTAGCTGAGTTGAGCATGGGTAACAACCAACCAATAGGCAGTGAAGGCTGAACTTGATTCTCTACTAGTTTTGTGAGTGTCCAGAAATGCATTAGTCCTTTTCTCTACACAGAGACCCTACAGTTCAGAGGCAAAGTGCTGAGTGTAACTCACCAAGAGTCACACATCTAGTCTCTACTGCAGCTCTAAGTCTTTTCAGTGGCTCACGACACCTACAAACCAAAAGCCAGAACAAAAGCATGCAAAGGCAACCGTCTCCAGCGTTAGACAAAAGCTGTCTACTTAAACAGTGAGGGAGGTATACCTCTTAAGTAGGCTCGCGTCACACTGCCACCTTCTTGCTGCCAATCTGGGACACAGGGTGAGTTATCTGACAGCACACACCACTCGATAATGTATTTCTTCACAGTTTTACGTGGAGCAGTCCATTCTACCCAGAGTTTATTATCTTTTGGGAATGCTTTAAGATCCACTACAGGGTGAGAAGCTTTAAAACAAAGTTTAATGTGGATAAAATCAGTTAATACTCAAAGATCTGATATTTCAATATTTTACTGTCATATCTAAAGCATGTAGCTTATAAACCTCCAAAATAAAAAACACACATAGGTAGTCAATTTATTTTTAAACTCAAATTCTTTCCCCAAATCTCCAAAAGTTTTATGTATTTAAGTTTATAACTGTGTCTTTGTCCTTAACAGCCAGAAGGAAACAATATATTTATGTCATATGCAAAGACAGCTCTGAGAACCTTGAGATGTATTTCAAACATCAAATCATCAGGAAGCATAAGGAACCCACAAAGTTGAAGCAGGCCGCACAGGGTTGGCCCGTACTTCTAAATCCTGATGGACGGAGCCTGTTAATCTCAACCTGTGGCCACTGCCACCGAGCGTAGAGAGCAGCCTCTCTATGATGCTTTCTGGGATCCTGTCCACACTTAACCCTGACACCCACAAATGAGGCTCCCCCTTACACATACCTTTGAAGTGGGAGCTGGGGATGGCGAGGACAGCTGCATCTGATTTGCCAACCATATTTCTTGCTGTTAGAGATGCTATATAGTGATTATTTGTGAGATTTACTATCAATTCTGTACCATTAGTGGTGTAATTTTGTGAAAATGATTTCCACTGTGTAAGAATCACTTCATAATCCAAAATTTTTCCATTGGCTTCAGAAAGAGGTAATTCCTGTAATAAAAATGTTACCAAAAATTATTTTATGAATCCCAAATAATCATTTTTTTCACATCCACAAATTCTGCCAGTATGTCAAACCTGTAAATATTTAGTTGAAAGGAAAAGACAAACTCATTTTTAAAAAAAGATTTATTTATGTTTATGTATATTAATGTTTTACCTTCATGTCTGTACATGCACTGTATGCATGCCTGGTGTCCGTGGAGGCCAGGAAAGTGCTACATCCCCTGACCTGGAGTTATAGACACTTGTGAACCATGTGGGCACTAGGAACCAAACCTGGATCCTCTAGAAGAGCAGTGCTCATAACTGCTGAGCTGTCTCTTCAGCCTGAGCTCACTTTGAATTTAGTACTACTCACTAAGAAAGAATATAAACAAACAAACAAACAAATAGGAAAAAACAAAACTTTAACTGAACCGGGACTGTAGCATGGTTGAGCCCCTGGTTCTGTACTGTTCTGCACAGCTGAGGTGTTGGTCTATGCTATTTATGCTTCAGCATTTTTTCCCTCTACCTTTTAAAGTATGATGTGTTCAATCAGCACATGCATGGCCTTATCAGCCCACATTCTGCTGTTTCCAAGCCTCACTCAGTTTCTTTCAAGGAGGCTCCCCCAGTGAGTTCAGAGAAGTTCAGAACATAGGCCTTGTTCTTACAGAGGTTACCCTTTTTATAAACTGTACTGAACTCCCAAATGAGGGATCAGCTAAGTTCGTAAACTTGGTTGGCTTCTTCATTAGCTGTATAAGGCTTTGTGTTTCTATACAGTAACAATATTAAGATGCATGGAGGAAACTAAGATGCATAGAACAAAAATTTAAGTGTTAAAAAACTTAACATTCAAATGCATTTATAATGGATAAGAGTATAAGTCTTTTTTTTTTGTTGTTGTTGTTTAAGTTTTTTACCTTCCATATGAGCCGTGCAGATCTAGATTCCTGGGTATAGGATGGATTTATCTTAAACCAGAAACTTGGTGGTTTGGAGGGTCCTAAAGAAAACACACACTTCATAAAATAAAATGCTTTTATCTTAACAATACAGTAAAATTCTGAAGTGATTCTTTTTGTTCTTAATGATCTTGTCCTTCAACCACAGTATTTCTCTTTCCAGCAGCAGGTCCGCTGTAGTACAACGTACTTGGGTCTTTCATTAGGCAGGTGACAGCTGGTAATTTAGATCATCACCATCTTTCTATTTCTTTATTTGAGTTGGGGTTTTGCAATGCTGCCCAAGGCTGGTCAGAACTTCTAGGCTCAAATGATTCTCCTACCTCAGCTTCCTGCATAGCTGTGCCATGGTGCTTGGCAGTGGATTACAACGGAATTCTTTTCTAATCTTAATGCTATAGAGATAAAAGTATATCCTAATAAATAGAGAAAGCATCACTATTTGTTTCTTTGTTTGCCTGCTTCCTTCTGCATGGGTGTTTCACTGTATTCAGACACACACCTTCACACTTTGCTTCTTGGTGGCTACACAGGAGATCAATAACGCTAGCAGCTCTGTGAAGATGGAGTTTCTGTCCGACTCTCTATGGTTAGCTGGTGGCAAGTTCCATTCTCTGACCTTCAGACAGCCTTTATTTGTACAAGCAAGATATCACCACAGTCTTATTTCTTCAGATGTATTTGTTTCAATTTCATGAGTGTTTTACCTACATGTATGTCTAGGCATTATAGTATGCAGTGCCCATGGAGACCAGAAGAGAGTGTGGGATCCTTTGTACTGGAGTTACAGATTATGAGCTGCCATATGGGTGTTGGAAATTGAACTCCAGGTCTCTAAAAAAGTGACAAGTGCTCTTACTCACTAAGCCATCTCACCAGATCCAGAGAGACCCTTTTTTAGACTCTTACAACTTTTTGTGCTTTTGTACTCTGTAGAGCATATGTAATTCTAATGTAATCAATGATGAAAAAAGGGAAATTAAAGCAAACCAACCAAACCCCAAATCGGTCCTTTTCTAAGGTCTTATCAAATGCTGGTAGGGAGAATAAAAATGTATAACATATTTTTGACATTTTGTTTTTGAGACAGTATCTCACTGTGTATCTCTGACTAGCTTGGAACTCAAACTCACAGAGATCTTCCACCTTTGCCTCACCAATGCTGTGATTAAAGGCATGTACCACCACACCCAGTTGTGGCAGTGTGATTTTTAATGAGCTAGGAAACAACTCTATAGTCAGGGGTGTCTTGGAGCCACCTTCTTTGAACAAAGTGAATGGTTTTTTAATGATAATTAAAATACCCTTTCATAATAATGTATCCTAATTAGGGATCAAATAGATTTATACTATCAACAATATATATCAAGTTTTATTTTGTGATGTCCTTACAAATGAAAGAATGAAACACCACAGTGTTTATTACTAAAAGGGTTGTATCTAAGCATCAGGAGGTTTTTTACTTACTGTCTTCATATGTTACTCCACTTGCTTCCTCACTCCAGTCACTCCAGTAGCCTTTGCCATCCTCCTTGATGGTGCGGATCCTGAACACATACTCTGTAAAAGGTTTAAGGTCCTGGATAGTGAAGGATGTGCGGGAAGATGCTGTATCTTCAAGAGGGACCTGAAAAGGAAGCACACTGAGTAACAATATCATCAATATCCCAATGTATAAGGTTTCCTACGCTGAATACATTTGAGAAATCAATAAATTCAACCTCTGGAGAGAAAGAAATGAAGGTAAAAATATGACAATCTACAGCTTACATACATCTGTTCTTTCTTTTCTCTATGAGACCTGTATGTAATACGGATACCTGCTTGTAATATCAAGCAGTAGGATTGCACTAGTGAAGATAGGATTTAAGTGAGATCCTGTCCCAAAGAACCAAACCAGCAAGCAAAGGAACCAAATAAACAAGCTTATGTAAAAAACAAAAAAACAAACAAATGAACAAACAAGAACAAAACAATTCAAGAAGGCACAAGATTATATATATTGGAGGAGACATAGTTCATCCTGGTGGGGAAGGCTGTGTCTCCTCCAAATGTCAGCAGAAATAAACCTTCTTTCTTTAAAATACTTTTGTTAGGTATTTTGTCAAAGGAATGAGAATATTTCATATAATTCAAATGGCAACTAGTGTTTGAATGCCACTGCTTCTCAAAGTAAAATGAATTTCCATATCCTTTGCAATGTAGCAAACGCTTGAAGCAAAATAATAGTAATTTAAGTGACCTTAATGCTATAAGACAGCTTAAATTTTGTTAGAAAAGTCTATTTCCTTGAATTTTATTTAATCTGTTAACCCACATAGTTCCCATGTTCTAGTGTATTGCATGCTTGATTACTTTTTCAATTTTCATTTTATTATTATTATTATTTTTTTTTTTTTTGGTTTTTACGAGACAGGGTTTCTCTGTATTGTTCTGGAGGCTATCGGTCCAGCCCAGCCTCGAACTCACAGAGATCCGCCTGCCTCTGCCTCCCGAGTGCTGGGATTAAAGGCGTGCGCCACCACCGCCCGGCTATTATTTTTATATATGATTTGTGTTTACATTCTTGAGCTCGATTGAATCAAGTATTGTTTTTGTTAATATTAAAATACTTTAGAGTTTGTATGTATTAAAACCATGTAAAATGAATCTCCTTTTCAGCATATATATATATATATATATATATACACACACACACATAGATACAGACACACACACACACACACACACACACACACACACACGAATCTGAGTGGCTAATATACTAGGAATTGTACTGTTACCAACTAACTCTATGTCCAAAGAAAGGGTCAAAGAGCCTGAATGAGGCGTCAGAGAGGGCAGCACTGATAGGCACAGCCTTAGAGAGACAGCTTACTCCACAGAAGGAAGAAAAGAACATGTTGTTCTCAGTTCTCTCTTCTTTCCCATCAAGCCCCTTCCATGCATTAACCCATGGGAAGGGAGATGGTAAGGGAACCTACAGTGACCTCGTCCAGGCCAGCATACCATGACAAGACCCGTGTGGACAGGAAAGGCTATGCCTTTGTCAGGGGAAAGGAGGCTATCCAACCCCATCAAGGAAATAAAGCTAGGGCTGGTGAGATGGCTCATGTGGCTGCTCCTAGCATGACAATGTGAGTTCTGGGGTCCACACAAAGAAAAGAGAAAATGCCTTCTGTAAGTTGTTATGACTTCCACAAATATGTTGTGATGTGTATGCATGTGTGCACACACATATACACAAAAATAGAGAGATGATAGACAGATAGATAGATAGATAGATAGATAGATAGATAGATAGACAGACAGACAGACAGTCAGACAGATAGATGTTGAAAAAAAGAAAACCACAAGCTAGCGTAATAAATAAACTTGCCTTTTATTTGGGCATGGGCAGATAAAATATACAAAATTACTATTTCTTCCACTTGTGAGATTTCAGTACTGGATACAAAACAAGATGTTCTGTTTGGTAGGATTTTTTGTTGTACTGCTGAATTAAGATTCTATGATATTACAATATATATTGAAGAACTTTAGGCACACGTCCTCTCTATGCAGTATAAGTCATGAACCCAATTCTCTTTTGCTGATTGTGACTGTACTCTGAGCCCATAAGAATTGGAGCAGCAGACAGTAGTACCAAGGTTTTGGGCTCAATATCCTTAAAGGTTCATAATGCAACCAGGGTAGTAAAATAAATAAATGGACCAATCAATCAATTAAAATAAAAGTGGGCTATAAATGGTAAGTGGAATTGCAGCAAAAAGTAGCACAGGCATTCAATGAAGTGCTGGCCTTGAGACAGGTGCAAGTACTTCCTTTGCTGAGAGTATCAGTTTTGGGCACGTCACCCCTTCTCTTCCAATCCTGAAATTCCCATTAATTCTGTATTAGGAGTTGGCAAACCTTCTATCAAAGGCTACAGAGTAAGGATTGTGGGCTGTGGGCCAGAAAAATCTGTTACAACTATACAATTCTTCCACTCTAACCCCCAAAAGTAAAGACAACAAACATGTCCCAGTAAAATTTACAAAAGCTGGTGGCAGGTTTTAGCCCACTGCAGCAAAGATGGTCTGAACTATTTATGCAAGCCACACTCTATTTCATGCTTAAAATTTCTGTGTCAACCTGCATGACTTTCATTTCCATCCAAAATGCTCTTCCTAAGATCCTGCAGTACTTCTTTAAATGTCACTGTGTGTTTCTATTGGCATGTCTGTCTGTCAAATGAAATGTTTCACATAATCAGAAACTTAAGACATTGAGAAAAGAGGTAAAACTTTATATTCGCGTTAAAAAAAACAACTAAGACACTATTAGAATAAACAAGCAACTTTCAATTTACCTGGATCCAAGTTGAGGCATCTCTGGTCCTATATTGAATGTCAGATTTCAGTCTTAAAGAACCTGAATTGTTCCATGTTAGCTTTAAAATACTAGACAATTCCTCTGAGTTGCTCACTGATAAATTATATGGTGGGATGTGTTTCACTGAAGAATAAAACAAGTACTAATGTTGGTCATGCTTTACTTTTATAATTTCATATACAAAGTCAACAAACCATGATCTTCCTTAAAAGATTATTCTTATCACATGAAATTTCTCTAGAAATGATACTCAACTATATAATGGAAAAAGATGCTTGAGAATCTTTTCCTTGGCTATTCAGTGTATTTGCTAATTTTCAGGTGCTGGTATAAAATGCTAAAAATATTTTTAACAAATGCTATTTTGAAAAGAAAATAAAAAAAGAACAAGAAAGTCACTGTGATTGCCAGTGGTATGAGATGTTGGAAAATTCAATGGATACCAAAAGGTAACATTTGGAGGGTCAGCCTCAGATACAGTCAGTTTAAAACCAGCCTGGGCTACTTGACACCTAGACTCAAAAACAAAACAACACAAAACAAATAGCAATGGCAAAACATTCCAAAAGCACACTGAAAATGGCTATGAGTGTGACTGGACAGCTGCTTTTCTGTTTCCAAATTACATTTAATAATATTATAAAAATTACTATACTAATAAGCATTTCTACATTAGCTGAAGTGTGAAAAGTAATTTACAAACCATCTAGTAGCCTGATACACTCTCAAATTCAGGCTTATAGGTACCTTTATCCACAGGATCGAAATTGATGGCCTCTGATGAGACCTTCCCAAGGGCATTTTCTGCTTCCACCCAGACTTCAATGTTTACAAAATAGATGGGAGAAAAGCTAACCATGCAGGAGGTGCCATGTTTTGAGTGGCAATCAGGAAACTTCTCTGTTGGCCTAAAAATAAAATTGGAAGAAGCAGCCATTAAAAATAAACTTGAAAATATAAAGGTGAAAAAAGTTACTAGAAAAGAGTGTTGCAGCAAAGTTTGCAATAAATGTTGGTCACTAAGGACATCACCTATTTTTAAAATTGTACTTGATTCATATCTATGGTCTTATTTCTTCATTTTTAATCTAAGAGAACTTCAGTTTAGAATTTTATGCTACGTCCTTATTGACCCTTCACCAAAAATTATCTATTTCTTGTGTGATTTCAGAATAGCAGGCCCAACCTCATTCATAAAGACATGTTTCAGGATCCCCTACAGATGCCTGAAATGTTGAGTAATAACCAAATCCTAGATATACTGTGGTTTTTCCTACATAAGCTTCACTATGATGGTAATTAATCTCTAAATTAAACATGGTAGATGAACAACTCTAACATAACAGTTAAGTGAATGCAGTCTCTCCCTAAATCCTTTATTATACTCACGTTTTCTTGTCACACTGTAATACACTGCATAAAAGATGATTTAAATTGAGGTGAATGATATCAGTCCTGAGACACAATGTTGGTGTTGGGACCCTATTGACCTGATAATAATTCCAAAAGAGGACGTAGGTGTTCCAGTAAGAATGGCCCCCAGAGGCTCATATATTTGAACATTTTAGTCATTAGGGAGTGGCTTGAGAATAATAGGGTCTGTGGCCTTGTTGGAGGAAATGTGTCACTGGGGATGGCCTTCTCGTCTTTTTGTGTGTATCAAAAAAATGATTTTTAATTTGCCTAAGGCTGGCAATACTAGAAATCAATGTTCAGTATGTGTGTATGTGTGCACAATCCCACCGCACTGTACTTATTAAGACAGTGTCACATTGTGGCTGAAGCTCAGTGACTCAGGCTGGCTGGCCAGTAAGCTCCAGTCTGTCTCTACTTATCTATCACCCCAGAGCTGAAATGACAGCACTAGACCACTGCACTTGGCCTGATGTGTGGGTGCTAGGCATCTGAGCTCAGAGCCTCAGGCCTGTGCAGTAGGTACTTTTCCAACTCAGGGATCGCCAGCCCTCAACTTAATGCTAAGAAAACCATGCAGTAAAGAACACACCATCCCTGTAAGTGAAATTTTGGGGGATAGAAACCCAACCCAAATTTGGCCAAATATATAGACCCAACAACAGTCTTTAGGAAATAAAATGACAAGAGAATGTTACACAATATCCAACAAGTCTCAATTATATGGAAAGATAACAGAAGTAGGCAGAACCTACCATTTAAGAAGATTTTATCAACTTAAAAAGTAGGGAGGTTTTTTGGTTGTCTGTTTTTTTTTAGTGTAGTAATTGTATCTACTTTTATTTATTTATTTTTTTAGTTTTGAATCTTTTTTTATCATTTTTTATTTTAATTTTAAATAGCTTGTTTTACATGTCAATCCCAGTTCCCTCTCCCTCCCCTCCTCCCGCACTCCCCTTCCCCCCTCCCTCCCACCCTATTGCCAAATCCTTCCACATAGGGGATATCTAGAGTCTGTCATTTTACTCTGGGTAGGGTCCAGGCACTCCCCTAAGAGTCCAGGCTGAGAGAGCATCCCTCTTTGTGCTATAGGCACACGAAGACTGTTTGTATACCAGGGATAGACACTGATCCACAGCTCAGGGCCCCATAGGTTACCCAGGCCTTCTCGCTGACACTCACATTTGGGGGGTCCAGATCAGTCCCATGCTGGCCTCCCCAATGTCGGTCTGGGGTCCAAGAGCTCTCCCCTGTTCAGATCAGCTGTCTCTGCTGGTTTTGCCAGCCCATTCTTTGCCAATTTGCTCATCACTCCTCTCTCTCTGTCACTGGGTTCCTTGGGTTCAGTTCAGTGATTAATTGTGTGTTTGCCTCTGCTTCCATCAGTCACAGGATGAAGGCTCCCGGATGGTATTAGACATCAAGTTCATTATCAGGAATGGGCATTTGAGGTGGTCTCTCCCCTATTGCTTTGCTTGCCAATTGGTGTTATCCCTTTAGGTCATTCGAGGTCACTCTGGTGCCTGATCTGTATTCGATCCTATGATTCCCTCTTCCCCCTATTCTACCCCCACCCCCTCAACTTACAATCTCAGTTCAAAGAGTACTTTTATAAGAAAACATTTTATGAGAGAAATGAGGAAATACTAGTTGAAAGTTTGATATTAAAATATTTCAACTTGTTGGGCAGAACAATAGTTTGGTGGTTTGAATAGGAATGGCCCCCACAGACTCATATATTTGAAGGGTCGACACTAGGGAGTGACACTGTTAGGAGGTGTGTCTTGTTGGGGTAAATGTGGCTTTGCTGAGGAAGTGTGTGACTAGGGGTAGACTTTGGGGTTTCAAATGCTCAAGCCATACCCAGTGTCTCTCCTCTTCCTGCTGCCTGCTGATCTAGATGTAGAACTCAGCTACCTCTCCAGCATCATATCGCGTCTGTCTGCTTGATACTATGCTTCCCACCATTCTGATAGTGGACTAAAATCTGAATGTCAGCCAGCCCCAATGAACTGTTTTCCTTTGTAAGAGTTGCCATGGTCATGGTGTCTCTTCACAGCAATAGAACACTGACGAAGACTTTAAGCAGCATTTGAATGTGTTTGGAAGTCATCACTCAGAGCTATGCACTGTGACATCTACGGACAGACCATGGCTAGGCTTCTCTAGAAGGCAGCATGGGACAGAGTACATGCACTGCTCAATGCTGACACTGGTGACAGAAGCACAGGGAGAGCACACTGATTCTACTGTCAGCGGATGTGAGATGTCCTCAAATATTCACCAGAAACCACTACTGACAAAATGAGAGTCCCAGCAACAGTGGTTGAGCGCATACCTGGAGACACTTACCACTCTGATTTCAAAGTGTAGTTTGTTTCCAGGTATGTCTCCCTTCCAGGGTCCCAATGACACAGCATATTCTTCCCTTCATTCACAATGCAACTCAAATTTGTAGGTATATCTGGGGGAACTAAAAGGAAATTTGCATTTATTTATTATCAAAAAGAATCCTTATATTCACAAATATTATCCAACTTATATAACACCTAAGACCCACCTCAATTAGATAAACAAACCCAAGATAAAGATATGGGCAAACAAGAAACAGATGTTAATATTTTTTTTCAAACTCTTACTTTTTAGGTCATCATATATATTTTCAAGTGTAACTGCCAATTAATTTATCAATTTCACATTAGTTTTCTATATAAAAATAAAATTTTATTTATAACCATATGAATTATCAATAATGTCTCCAATCAAGTGTTTTAAAACTAATCATACATAATAATAAAAGGCAGTTATTGGAGCAAAAATGATTCACATATATTTTGTATTGTGGGACAGGATCCTACTATGTAGCCCAGGCTGGCCTCAAACTCTCAATCCTCTTGTTCCACACCCCAGGTGCTGGAATTTCTGACATGCACCACCATACCTGGCTGCTGAACTTTTGTTCTTATTGCTTTCTGACATTTGAGTGGAAGCAATGTAAACGCCGAAACTGTAACTCCTAGCTCATCCCTATCTGCCTGTATCACCAGTTCCACTCTTTTTAAAAAAAATAATTACATTATTTCCCCTTCCCTCTCCTCCCTCTAAGCCTCCCATATAGCCCCCGTGCTCTCTTCAAATCCACAGTCTCTGTTTTTCAGTGTTTCTCCATTTTCTTCACTCAGGGACCTGTTAACTTGAGCCTTTTTCAGTAATGAGGAGACAGAAGGCTGGTATCAACAGAAGCTCTGCAAATCAGTAATACTCTGACCAAAGCATTTCTCAAGAATCTGACAAATGTTTGTCTTTTAGCAAAGAAATGGCAGCCATGCTACTCTTTTGAATTTATGTGTAACAGTGAAAACTTCTAAATATTTTTATAAAATAAGTATATCCAAAAGCTACAAAACCAAGTGACTGTCCTTGGGAAGGCTAACAGAAACCATTAAAAATGTAGTTCAAGAATCTGGCAAAGTTACAAAGAAGACACAGATCTTACAGCCTGAAAGTACGGTGGTTCCATACACATTCTGCTCGATCTGCCCAAATGACAGGACATTGCAGGTGAGCTGGACTGTCTGGAGGACCATGTCTGTGAAGGTGACACTAGACGTGGTTCTGTTGATGACAGTGACCTGCTCCTTGGGGACAGCAACATGGTTTGTCTTCCACACGATGAAACTTGCATTCGCGTAGTACTGCTGAAGACACTCTTCCTTTAGCACACAAATGGCAGTGAAGTTAGAGCCACGCTGTACAACTGGAAATTCGGGGTAGATATAACCACATGGTTCCAAAAGTTGACCTGAAAAAGAACAATGGACTCTGCTAAGTGTCCTGAGCTTGCCTAGCACATGTAATGTCTTGGTTCAATGCCTGGCACTGTGACAGAAACAAGGCAAAAAAACAAAGACTGAATATTTCCAGTACAAAATGGTATCTGGATAGCAGCACTCAATGTAGACTCCACAGATTCATTGTATAAATCCTCTGAGGAAAAACTAAATATAGACTGAAAAATTGTGGTCTGAATGTAATATCTAAATTTGTTAAGAAATACACAAATTACAATGTACAAGGTACAAAAATTACTGAGCCCATAGTCCAATATTCTGATTTTCCTTAGAAAACGCTGCTTTAGCACACCCCTTGACTGAGATAGTTTAAGCTAAACTCCAGAAAAAGGTGGGCTGTCTTCCCCTCCAGCCCTGAATGCCGGTAGAGGCGAGGCTACAGGGAGAGACGGACAAACTGTCCATAAATCAAAATTCAGACTGCAGCAAGACAGCAACCCAAACCAGAAAGACTAGAAAATATGGGCAAATGTGTTATGTTTTAACAAAGTACAGAGGATATGATTTTCTGATAAAACACTGGACTAGTTTTAGCAATAACTGTGTTTTATCCATCAATGCATGGAATAAAATTTTCTATTTAATAGGAGGAAAAGAAAAGAATCAGATAGGATAAAAAATAAAGCCCAGTTATACAGTTGAACTGTCACAAGTGAGGTCATGTGGTATTTGTCTTTCACTGTCTGGCTTATTTAACTTAGCATGTTTTCAGTTCTACTTATGTTGTCCCAAATGAAAGATTTCACCATTTTTTAAGATGGAATAGTATTCCATTATGAACACACACAGTCATTTCCATTATCCACTTATATATTTCTTGGCTATTGTAAGTAGTACTGCAATAAAAACAAAATGCAGGTCTCGTTTTGACATAATGGTTTAATTTCTTTTCTATTATTTACCCAATAGTGAGAATGTATTTGACAGGATTCAGACTTGCCTAGGAGATAAACTTCTAGGTATATTCTTAAGGGGGTTTTTAGATTGGGTTAACTGAGGCAGGAAGACACACTCTAAATGCATGGGCTGGGGTCCTGGAGTGAATGAAATGATAAGGCAAGCTACACACTAACATTCATCTGTTTCCTAAGTGCATGCACAATGTGACCCTGTTGTACCAAACTTCTGTTGCCACGCCTTCCCCAGCCCGACAGGACTATCCACTTGAGTCTGACCTTCCTCAAGTTGCTTGTCAAGAATTTTGTCATAGCAATGAGAAAAGTAACTATTACAATCTGCTAGTTGAACTGACTTTTATGAGTCTCTGTATTATTTTTGATAATAGCTGTATTTATATAAAAATCCCATCAATACCGTGTTTGGTTTCCTTTTCTGTACATTCCTGCCAGCATATACCTTAGGTTTTTGTGCTAACAGTCTCTCTAGCAGGTCATTCCTTACTATGACTTCCCTGATGATTAGTGCTGAGTATGTTTCCATGGAATTATTAGCTATTTGCATGTCTTTTTTGGAGAGATGTCCAACTAAGTCTACTATACCTTTAAAAATTATTTACTTTTTCTACTAATTTGTTTGAATTCCTTGCATGATCAATATTAATCCCTAATCAGGTATATGATGGGAATATTCCCCTATTTGATGAGTGTCTTTTTACTTGGTAGATTTTCCTTGCCACACAGAAGCTTAAGTGTAATGCACTCTAATTTGTCTACTCTTGTTTTACTCCTATGCTTTGGGATCCTAGTGAGAAACTCCTCACCTGTTCCAGTATCCTAAAGCATTTCCCCTACTTTTTCTTCTAGTGATTTCATAGTTTTAGGTCTTGTATTAAAAGTCTTCAATCCAGGTGGTTGTGGTGTGCACACCCTCCCAGTCCTAGCACTTGGGAGGCAGACGCAGACAGATCTCTGCAAATTCAAGGTCAACCTAGTCTACATAGTGAGTTCCAGGGTGGCCAGAGTTATACAAGGAGACCATGTCTCAAAAGAAAACAAAGTAAGCCTCTAATCTGTTTTGAGTTCATTTTTCGAGCTGTTGACAAATTGAGAAAAACTGGATATCCAATTATCCCACATCTTGGTCTGAAGAAACTGTACTTTAATATCTTAGCACTTATCAAAGCTTTGGTAGCTATACATAATGAATTTACTTCTATGTTCTCTAGTCTTTTCTACTGTTCTGTTTTTATGCCCACACAATGCTGTTTTATTTTTTTTTTATTTTTTTATTTTTTGGTTTTTCGAGACAGGGTTTCTCTGTATTGTTTTGGAGGCTGTCGGTCCAGCCTGGCCTTGAACTCACAGAGATCTGCCTGCCTCTGCCTCCCGAGTGCTGGGATTAAAGGCGTGCGCCACCACTGCCCGGCAACAATGCTGTTTTAATTACTGTAGATTTATAAAATATTTTGAAATCAGGTAGTATGGAGATTTTTATTTTGCTCAAGAATATTTTGGGTATTTGGGTGTTTTGTGGTTCCATGTGAATTTTAGGAATATTTTTTTCTAATTCTGTAGATTGCTTTGAAAAGTGCTGAAATTTTAGCAATATTCATTCTTTTAATTCATGCACATGGATTGTCTTTCCATGTTTTGTGCCCTTTTCAAAAATTCTTTCATTGGTGATATATTATTTATGATTTACTAAAGCTTGCTTGAAGATCAGAGAAACAAAGCAGCCAAGCCAGTAGATCTTACCTCTACCCAGTTGAAATGGCAATGCTGACTCTACGAACCCTCAGACACAAATAGTTTTCGGTTCCTGTCTCCTCCTGCCTTTTATTTCTTTTTCTGCCCAGTCATATCACTCCTGTCTCCACCTCCCTAGTGCTAAGATTAAAGGAGTGTGACCCCAGGTGCTGAGATCACCTTTGTGCGAGCTGTTTCTTTTAGTACTGGATTAATTTCATGTAGTCAGTGTGGCCTTGAACTAAGAGAGATCCATCTACCTCTTAACCCTGATTAGGATTAAAGGTATGCATCACCACTGCCTGACCTCTATAGCTTGAGGCTGACTTTGCTTTCTAAATCCTCAGGCTTTAATAAATTATTAATAATATACCACCACAATTAGGTTTTATAATTTATATTTGAGAGACACTTTAACTGACTAAATTTACTTGTACTTATTTTTGGAGCTACTGTAAATAAGATTGCTTTATCAGATACTTTACCATTAGCATGTGGAAATGCTATTGACCAATGTATATTAACTCTTTACCCAGCAACTTTTCTGAATTCATTGATTAGTTCTTTTTTTTTTTTTTTTTGTAGATTCTTTAGGGTTTCCACTATACAAGACCATGTCATCTACATGAGACAATCTGACATCTTCTTTTCCAACCAGGATGTCTTTTATATTTCTTTCTTTTGCCTAATTAATTGCTCTGGTTAAGTCTTTGTCTTAGTTATGGAATCTATTGCTGCAATGACATGCATGACCAAAATGCAAATTGGGGAGGAAAGAGTTTATTTGGATTATACTTCAGCATTGCTGTTCATCACTGAAGGAGTCAGTACAGGAACGTAGCAGGATGCCGGAAGCAGGAACTGATGCAGAGGTCATGGAAGGGTGCTGCTTACTGGCCTGCTTCCCATGGCTTGCTAAGCCTACCTTCTTAGAGAACCCAGAATACAGTCCAGGGAAGGCACCACCCACCATGGACTGAGTCCTCCACCACTGATTACTAAGTGGAGAAAATGTTTCCCCAGCTAAGGCTCCTTCCTCTCTGATGACTCTAGCTTGTGTCAAATTGGCACACAAAACCAGCCGGTACAGTCTTCAAATATCCTATTTAGTAGGAGTGGTTAGAAATAAAGGTAGTGAAAATAGCCTCTATATTAGAGAAAAAGCTTTCAGTTTCCATTCAGCACATTAGTTGTGAACTTGAGGGTGTGTGTGTGTGTGTATAAAATTTTTGTTATGCTGAAATGTTCTTCCTATACCTAATTTATTGTTGTAAGTTATGAAATGTTTTATATGAAATTTATCAAATGCATCTAAGGCGACTCTACAGTTTTTGTCCTTCCATATGTCAATCTCATTTACTCATTTATATATGGTAGTCTTGTACCTCTGCAATGAGCGTATTTTATCAGAGTAAATAATGTGCTGTTGAATCCTGTTCTTAGTATTTTACCAAGATTTTCTGCATCTATGTTCATCAGGATATTGGTGTATAGCTTCTAGATTTGTGTGTTGTCTGGTTTTGGTATAAGACAATGCTGGCTTGGTGTTTTCAAAGTGATGATACAGGGTCTTGCTATATATATAGCCCAGACTGGCCTTGCACTTAAAATCCTCCTGCCTCAGTTCTCTGAGTACTAAGATTACAGTACATGTTAGCGTGCTTGGCTCAAGCTTACTATTACTTCTGCTTATTTCTCTACCTCCCTCAACTTATCCAGGCCAGATGCCTTGGAGCAGCCTTCCACATCTCTCTGTAGGTTCAGCGTCCAAGAGTTTAAAGCTGCTTTCCTGCCAATGCTTGCTAGTGGTTCTGAGTTGTTACTCATTTGGACTTCAGTTTAACATACAATTTTCTGTTACTGGAAACTGTTCAAAGTGAAGCCAAACTCCTCCATGTGAAGACAGCTGACCCAAAGTGGCGCTTTTCAAACTGTGACAGAGGTCAGGTGTCTTCTTGCAAACTGAATAGATCTGTGTTTTTGTTTGCAGACCCCACTGACAATATGCTTGGTTGTCATAGCTATGTCAAACTGTTTCTAGGAGCTAGAGAGATGGCTCAGTGATTAAGAACACTGGCTGATCTTGTAGAGGGTGGAGTTTGATTCCCAGTACTCACAATCTATAACTGTAGTCCTAGGGGATTTGACATGCTCATTTGGCCTTCCCAGGCACAAGGAATTTATGTGGTGCATGAAACAACATCTATACAGGCAAAATACCCATGCAGGGAAACTGTTTAAAAGTTTTCTACATATAGATTATTAAGTCTTCATTCATCTCACTTTAGACTACCAGATCACTGGTGCTCATCAGGTTAGTATCAACAATATAGCTTCTACCACCCCTTCCTTCCGGTATGCAACCAAACAGCTTAATGACTTTTGGGTAACTGAAGAGAAAAAAAATGCTAAGAATTAACAGGTTTTTCTCCTAGTAATTTATTTAAAAACATTTTTGTATACCAATAATCAATATTACTGAACTATAACTAATATGCATTCAGTATTTATGAAACTCAAATAAATGATATAAAACAAATTATCAGGTATATTTGTACTAATGATATTTCTCCCAATAATGACTCTAGAAAGAATATATGAGCACAATTATATAACTATTAAACATGAACCTAATTATATAGTATATAAAATATATAAGCCAAATTTGTGGAGTTGGGACATTTCATGAACCTTACCTATAGATTCAGTGATGAGGAAAATAAACAAAGCTTGTGTTAGCCAAATCCTCAGTGTTGACATCTTGCACGGATGTTCCTGTAAAAGATATAATGTGAAATTTAAAAACCTGTTCTTTACACACAAGCTCAAACACAGGTTTATTTCTACTGTGCAGCTATTTTTCTGAAAGGTGGTATCATACGCACGTGAATGCAGAAAGGGAATTTTTTTCTCTGTTCACTAAAGTTATGGCTGTACAAAACTGCTGGATGACATCAATAGTTAAGGACCAATCCCACTTTTTTATGATGTAAAATCATACATACAAGTAATTGAGAGATGGAAGACTTCAGAAATGTCTGAATGGCAAAGTTCCCTTTAAAGAACCTTAGAAGGGACTAGACAAAAGGAAATTTAGCTCAGTGTAACCAAAAATAGTTCCTGATAGGAGGAGGATGCCTACAAAGTACTAAAAGATTTAATACATCATAGAAAAACAAGTGGAGTTTATAGAAAAAAATACACATAACTAAATATTCAAGATGACAATTTTAAACTACTTACATGAGATGCAAATTAAAAAGACAGGAATGAAAAAACTGTGCAAACACTCTGGAAAATGATGGGGCAGGGGAGACTTTAGCAAGTTAAAAAGCATGGTGTAAGACCTGGCATTACACACCTAACATCGTATCTAAGGAAAATCAGAACCATATGTGTCCACACAAAAACATACTCAGATGTTTATTCAGAAAAATCTGAAACTGGAAACAACCCAAATATCTATCAAGTGGTAAACTGATAAAGAAAATCAGCTGAGGGCATATTTACAAAACAGAATAGTAATAAGTGGGAACAAACCAATGATACATCAAGCACAAGAAAAAATCCCCCACAGAAGTGTGTAATGGCAGGTGCCAGCCACTACAGGTTGCATGAGCAAACTAAGGTGACACATAGCAGGTCAGGGATCCCTAAGCAGAGGCAGAGGGGAAAGAGCAATAGGGTCTTTTGGGGTGATAAAATATTCAACAACTTGATTTTGGTGGTGACTTTATAAAGATTATAGGTATTTGCAAAGATTCACTGAATTGTGCCAACATTACAAAGGCTCCGATCTGAGGCTACCCTACTGGGAAGCTGATAATTAGCTTGCTACAGTTTCATGAATACCAGCAAATATTGTAAGACAGGAGTTAAAACAAAAGACATGATTCTTAGCAGCAGCAACAAAGTATCAATAGCTTCTTTTGCTAACTACCAGCTCATCTGCAGGGTTTGGTGAAATTAGTTGACACCTGCAGACAAGTTATCTTACAGGACATAAAGATTTGGCTTATAGATACTAGGGGGAGGGCCTAGGCCCTGCCCCAAATGATGTGTCAGACTTTGGTGATCCCCAAGGGAGGCCTCACCCTCCCTGGGGCGCGGATGGGGGGGTTGGTGGGGAGCATAGGAGGACTGGAGGGAGTAAAATAAGATTGTTTTTAATAAAACAAAAAACAAAGATCTAGCCTAAGAACCCACGCTTTAAAGTGAGCAGGACGCATTCTGGCCTTTTACTCTAGAGGGAGCCATTACAGCTATCTTTTAAAACTGCAAGCAAGCCTTCCTAAGTCAAACAGTATTTCAACATCCTTGAGATGATAGCAGGGTGGGACAGTCAGGGCTTTTGCAACTAAGACATGTAGCATACAAAAAACATGACCTACTTTTTTTTTAGTGTTTATACATTAAATCTTAATTATAACCAATTAACACTATACAGACAAGGTGTACATACACCAAAGGAAACAGGTGCTAATGTCTTCCAAAAGGTATACTCATAGGAATGTCTCACAGATGCCCAAGGTAGGTGCAGCTCCACAGCTCAGGTTCTCAGTATACACAGGGCATAAGTTCAACCCCCAACAACAAGAAAAACCAAAATATAGCCAAAAGCTGATGAGAAGCAACCAGACAAACTGGCAGAGTCATAGCAATTAGCAAGAAGAATGTACAAATAAGCACAGCATGATAACACTCACATGCAATACAGAACCAGAGCAGGGTAGGCTTGTGACTGGGCAGTGCCATGAGGAAATGGAAAAGCCTTTCCCTATAATGACTTGAAGTATTACTTCCTAATTTTTAAAACTGTCACTGAGATGTGAGGAAGGAGTATCTATTAAAGTGCCTGACATCAAAGTACAAATGTGTTCTGTGTTGTATCCTGTACAACTAACTTCACTTGTGGCTTAGCTTGTTTTAAAATGGATAGCATTCTGCTAATTTTTTCTTTTGATTCTGCTGAGAGCAAACATTCAAATTAAAGGTATATTAAATGTTCCTCTTCACAGCTCTTGCAGAATATGCACATATTGCAAAAATGTTGCATACAATGACTTCCTCCAATTTTTAAAAGCTTTCTAGGAAGCTTTTACAAAACAAAAAAGATATGACTAGTAACTGTATGTGCAAGACAGGTTTATTTCAGAATGGAGTGGTTCTTCTGTATTGGTAATTCCTAGATTCTGGCCAGCCAACAGTGGTGTGCTGAAAGATATGTCACAAGTGACTTCTTCAAGTAATGCTTGTCACACAGAATATGAATGAATGGCTTGCTTGAAAACTCAGAATGCAGTAACTGTGTTGCTACCTGTTCTTTCATTTCATGGCTTTTTCTCAAGTGGGGAAAAAAAACAATGTAATTATAACTGATCAATATTTAATAACTGTGCCACTTTAAATATTTTTATTGCTTACACTGAGATTTTTTTATTTATTTCCACTTTTAAAAATCTAACCCAGGTACAAAACAAAAAATGAATAAGGACTGCATTCACTGGTAAAGATATCAGTATAAACTGTTACTATGGCAAGGTAACTGTTATAATTGAAGAGCCTTGAATGAAGCCCAGATGTCAGAAATAAAGCAAACTGTGTTCACTGGTGAGCTGTGTAGCGATCGGGGTGATTTTTAACTACATAAAGTTGAGCTAAATTACTTTGCAATTATCGACCCTTTACTCCTTTCTAGTTCATGCTAACTGAAACTGAACTGTTGTCAGAATGGGCACAGAAGAAAAACAAAAATTCAGACACAAATCACTTACCTCACAAAATTAGCAAATACAAAGGCATAAATCTGAAGCAAGTCCGTGGCCTCCAAATGTCATGTTCCTTCTATCGGGTCTCCCTGTGAAGATAGAGAGCCTTGTTCTGAATGATGACTTGGTAAGTGTTGTACATTTGCTTCTTTACTAGAATCTATGAAAACTTCATACACACATACATTATATTTTTTTCAGATTCACACCTACTGCTTCTCTAGATCCTGGATCCACCTGTACATATGGGTTCTTTAAACCCTTCACTGGTGTTACGATTTTGGGTTTGCACCAAGTAGCACATATTATGGAACTTCAGAATAAAATAATCCCACAAATACTTGGGTGAGGGTATTTAATAATCCAGTGGTTATTACTATGTCTTTACTTCCCCTTTGGGACAAGGTTTTGCTATGTTGTCCTGGTTGGCCATTAACTACTGAGTTAAAGTAATCTTCTTGCCTCAAGCCTTTGGACCTAGGACCATTAGGACCTAGAGTTATGTTTAATAGTGGTTCTCAACCTGAGGGTTGCAACTCCTTGGGGTCAAATGACTCTTTCACAAGGAGTCTCCTAAGACCATCACAAAAGATAGATATTTATATTATGGATCATAATAATAACAAAATTACAGTTATGAAATAGCAATAAAAATATTTTTATGGTTGGGAGTCACCACAACATGAAGTACTGTATTAAAGGTTTACAGTGTTAGGCAGGTTGAGAACCGCTGATTTAATACATAGTCGCAACTATTAAAGTTGCCAACACCTAATTCAACCCCCTTGATGTCTATGTAATGTCACAAGGGCATCTTGTTCATATTGACAATAGCAGGTCCTTAGGAGAAGATTGATGATACCTTTTGTTCTCGACTGGCACTTAGTTAAACCAGCTGACACCTCAACTGTCCAACTACACTCAGTACTAGATTAAATTGAGAAGTGGTAGCAACTGTTTCATATAACTAAAAACTTAGGCAAAGAATTGAGTCCTGTTCTACATGTCTTTGACATGACACAAAAACAAGGAATTAAATTTGTAACATTTTTAAAATTTCAAAAGAAAAAGGGGGGTGCAGTGCAGGCAAGTAAAGTTTCTATAATTTCACCAAGAAAAATAGCTAGTGAAAATGTTGCTGGACAGTCTTGCAAAATTCTACGCCTAAACTTTATATTGTGTAAGTAAGTACATATTTCTTACTTTAGAAAGTCAGGTTCACACATGTGATGAGAGTTGTACACTACAGACTGGAACTCTATAAGCACTACACAGGTTAAGTTTTTGCAGCCTTTGCGCTCCCTTCTTCCCACTGAGGTCTTTCTTGGCTTCTCTGAACTGCTTCTACAACCCAGCTCTCCTGGTTTCTGTTTTCTCCTTTGTAACATCTGAGACATCTGTAACAGACTGGCAAATATTTTATGTAATGAGCCAGATAAATGTTTAGACTTTCTTTACAAAACGACTGCAAGCCAGATTTGGTCTTCAGGCCATTGTTTTTGTCAAGCCCAATTCTAAAATGCGACATAATTTTCTTATTTTGCTTACTGTTTGTTCAAGGTTGAACTGTGTCCCCTACAAAAGATGCACTCAAATCCCAACTCCTAGAACCTCAAAATACGATCCTCTTGGAAACAGGACCACTGCTGATGTAATCAGCAAAGAAACCCTAGTGGACTTGGGTAAGACATTAGAACAATGTGACTTCTATAAGAGAGACACAGAAAATGCCCTATGACAGAAGGCAGAGACTGGAGTGACATAGCTATAAGCTAAAAAAAAGTCAGCACATGGCTACTACTGTAGGCTAGGGAGAGCCAATAGATTCTTTCCAGTTTCAGAAGGACTTCTGGAGAAAATAACAGTTCTATAATTTTATTTTATTTGTTTGTTTGTTTTTTTTTTTTCAGAAGGGTTTTCTGTGTGTAGTCCTGGCTGTCCTGGAACTCAGTCTGTAAAGCAGGCTGGCCTTGAACTCAGAAATCCAGCTGCCTCTGCCTCCCCAGTGCTAGGACTAAGTTGTGTACCACCACTGACCGGCATTTTAAACCAGCTGATTTATGATGCTTTGTTGCATTAGTTCTAAGAAATGAACACAGTGTGTATATTACCCAAACAGATTGTAAGCAAGGGAGGCAATTTTGTGTTATTGACATATCTCTAGAATTCAAAACCATACTTTGCATATGATATGATTATTAGATAAACAATATTAAAATGTGTATATGACATACAACACTGAAACTTTTTTTTCCAAGACAGGGTTTCTCTGAATAGCCCTGGCTGTCTGGGAACTTCCTCTATAGACCAGACTGGCCTCAAACTCACAGAGATCCACTGAGTGCTGGGATTAAAGGCATGTGCTACCATCAGCTGGGTTATAATACTTCAATTTAACTAGTGGCTTGGGCCATGTACGTGTTATTTTTAGCTATAGAGCTTCCTGGATAATATAACCATTTCAATTATTCTGCTAATTTTTAATTAGACTTGTTTCATTATCATTAGGTTTGACAGTTTTGTGCATATATTCGGGTGGATATAAGACCCTTGTTATAAATTTGATTTCTACATAATTGTTCTGCAGTCTGTGGCCTATAGCTTTATTTTATTTTTAAGGCCTTTTTAAAGTATGCGCATGTATTATATTCTTATAACACTTTATAAAACAAACAAACAAAAAAAAACACTAAGAGGTGGGTTATAATTTACCAGTTCCCATCTATTTGCTTATTTTTATGCAACTTTTTCACTGTTGTGGTTTTGAAATACGTAGCTGCTACGATGTTAAAAATGAAATGCTAAACTAGTAGGACTCCTAGACATTTAATGTACTGTTTGAATAAATGATTATTTAAAAAATGGCACTCCTGCATATCAGTAATAGCCAATTAAAAATATAATAGAAAAAAATAACTACTCATAATAGCACCAAAAGCAACACTAGAATAGGAGAAATCTAGTCAGAACTATGTAAGAATTTCACAGTATAAAAATGGAACACGACTTTAACCCAAATAGCAAAGTAGTTTATTATAGAACTTTATACATCAATTAAAACTTCACATTAAAAACTAGAAACTAAGGGCCAATTTTCAAACAAGAAAAAGAGGATTTGATATAACATCAGTCAGACACACTATAGAGATTAAGATATGCATGGGCTCAGAAGAATAGACAAGTTAACAGCATGATATAAAAGAAACTCAAATGTATGTAACTGCTTTTAGGACTCAGATGGAGGTCAGGGGTACATAGCATGCCTTCATGTGTATGACTTTGTTTTGCCCCCTGGCATCACAAAACAAAACAAAAACCCAGATAAATAATAAAGAATCCACAAGCCAGGCACGCACACACCTGGTAAGTCTCAGCTGGGGGGCTGAAGATGGAAAACCAATTAAGTCTAAGACTTGGTAACTAGCCTGGGAAATATAGGGAGAGCATACAAAACAAAATCTGATTAAAAATAAATATATATGGCATCTCATATCATTATTCAGGGATATACTTTGCGACAACTGGTCCTATGAAGAAAAACACAAAAAGATATTTTTATTATACAAACATATTCCTGAGTTAATAAAGAAATAAGTGCAAAAGTCAGATTATATACATACTGAGAAATAAAACATGTATGACCTTTGAGGACAAAAATCTTTTATAAATTATTTTGCTTATTTTAGTCAAATGAGAGTTTCATGAGTACTCTGACAAAGATCCATGTTCTCACCATCACTTAAGACATAAAACATTACAAATACAATTGATGCCAAACAGTTCTTGACTACAGGAAACTAAAAGCTAACAGCTAAGTGTGTGCAAAGTGCTTTGGGAACAGAGTACCCTATTCAGGGCTCAGGAACACTCAGCTATAAAGTCAGTTAAGGATGAGAAAACAGTGTATGTATGGTGGAAGACCACCAATGGGAAGACCACAATCAGCTATCTGAAACACAGCTCTCATGAGCTTCACTTGCACTAGGGGATGCAGTTGCAGGGGATGTATGTAAGACAGGACTTCCAAACAAGAAAGTACTGTGCAGAAGACAGCAGCATGTAACCCACTATTTATAAGTAATAATTAACCCACTCTTCCTTAAAGCAAAGGATAGAGTGACTACTAAAGAGAATCTGAAATTTTGATGGCAGGACAACATTCAACTTTCAACAGGGCAACACATCGTGCTCTGGGTATGAGTACAGGCAGCTTTAATGCATTAACAGCTCTGATTTGGGGTCGGAGAAACTCTCAAAATCGCTCTAAAATATACCAGCTAGCCACAGAATGAAAGTTCTGGTAGCCCTGTGCCACCACAAGTGTTTCTGAAGTCTCCATTTACCATGCCTGCTTTTAACCTTCCTCATGGCTAGCTCCTGGTCTCAAGTGCAACCATCTGGTGCAGTTGGTTCTTAACCTTCCTCATGGCTAGCTCCTGGTTTCAAATGCAACCATCTGGTGCAGTTGGTTCTTAACCTTCCTCATGGCTAGCTCCTGGTTTCAAATGCAACCATCTGGTGCAGTTGGTTCTTAACCTTCCTCATGGCTAGCTCCTGGTTTCAAATGCAACCATCTGGTGCAGTTGGTTCTTAACCTTCCTCATGGCTAGCTCCTGGTTTCAAATGCAACCATCTGGTGCAGTTGGTTCTTAACCTTCCTCATGGCTAGCTCCTGGTCTCAAGTGCAACCATCTGGTGCAGTTGGTTCTTAACCTTCCTCATGGCTAGCTCCTGGTTTCAAGTGCAACCATCTGGTGCAGTTGGTTCTTAACCTTCCTCATGGCTAGCTCCTGGTCTCAAGTGCAACCATCTGGTGCAGTTGGTTCTTAACCTTCCTCATGGCTAGCTCCTGGTTTCAAGTGCAACCATCTGGTGCAGTTGGTTCTTAACCTTCCTCATGGCTAGCTCCTGGTCTCAAGTGCAACCATCTGGTGCAGTTGGTTCCTTCCTTTATTCACTTTTTTGGAATTCTCTGCTAGCTTTTATCTCCTGGCCATGAAGGTACCCAAAGAAAAAGTACTCAGCATCTACTTTTCTTTTAAAATATTTACTTTGAAGACATGTAACTTCAACTATTACCTTACCTTCAAACCAAATTTCAAGAATTTTGGCTTGAATCTTCAATTCTAGTTATGTAACATCTTAAATATTCTACATCTGATACAAATCGATTTAATAATCTCCCCTCAAAAGTACCTACAAATGCATATGCCTATGTACACATACATAATGTACCAACACTTAGCAGGTTTATTTTTTTTTTTACATCACAGAAACTTATCTCCCCCCCCCCCACACACACACCTATATCATTTTCAGTTGCCTAGGTCAGTAAGGCCTGTTATTCTCTGATCTACTCTTATAATATGAGTACACATCTTATCCAGACCTCTTCGTGACCTTCTTACCTGCCTCTCTTTATTGATGACTGGACCTGGACTTGATCAAAGCACTTACAATGGTCCCAGCCACTCCTCTACCACAACTTCCTCCTACTCTGATCACAGCACTTACAATATTCCATCTAAGCAGGGCGGTGGTGGCGCTCGCCTTTAATCCCAGCACTCGGGAGGCAGAGGCAGGTGGATCTCTGTGAGTTCCAGGACAGCCTGGTCTACAGAGTGAGTTCCAGGACAGCCTCCAAAGCAATACAGAGAAACCCTGTCTAGAAAAAAAAAAAAACAATATTGTCTATCAGAGAAGATACGAACCAGTTTCATCTACCTGCACTCTCAGTTGACCCCCAGTTTCAGTTGTATTTTAAAATAACAGTCATAGAAGAGGTTGGGTACAGTCCAATGTGGAAAGGCCCTGGTTCAACACCCAGCCTGTTATATACATAAAACCGTTTTCTCAGATGGCTTTCTTTCAAACTACTGTGTTACAATCCTGGAGAGAATTGGAAGCAATCTGGCTTTTTACTCCAATTATGGTGAAATTATTCTTTTAGTTTTCCAACTGCAAAGCAAATATTTAAGCTCCTCGTTTCTTCATGGCCTCAGCAAATTGATCTCAACTTTCAACATTTCCATGTCAGCCACACCTAGATGGTAAGCTCAAGTTACAACAAACTTCTAGACTTTCTCTAAACACCTTCTTGACTGTGTGCTTGGACATGCACTAGAGTTTGATTCTACAATGCCAGTACCCTGCTGACTCTGCCTTGTTCTATTGTTTATAACTCAAATGAACATCTCTTCTGTGGAATTTCCCCCACATTCACAAACATCTGTGTTCCCAATGCACTTTCAGAGTCCCCTAAAAGGATTAAAAATGTAGCATAGTAATTACACAACTTCATATGCTGAGAACCTTGAAGCGTTTAGTGAACAGCTAAAAGAATGGTTAGTTTATGTATGTATGTGGTACTGATGGAGAATGCATGCATGCAGTGCTGAGGATTGAATCCAGGGCTGGCACATGCTAAGCAAACACTACTGGCTACATTCCCAGCCTAATAATGAGTTTTAAAAGACCTGGTATAACCATTTTACTCTGTCACTCGTGTAGACAATATGAAAAAGTAATAAGTATTACAGTTACAAGTTCAGCCTGAACTCAGGATATCCAAGTATAAATATAGAATCTGACGATAATGTCTGTGTTTGGGGGTTTGCCTTCATGTAGAAGAGACTAATAAGACCTACTTCAGTAAGGCTATGTTCAAATAGAGGCTGACATGCAATAATGCATAAGTTACTGGTTATTAAACTGAATATACTGTATTAACAGCACATGGCAGTCCTTCACAAAGTTCTAGTCTCCATTCTGCCCTTCGCTCTATATTAGGAGATGGATCTCTCTAGTTTCCCCTTTATCCAAACCTTATCCAGGTCTCAAGACTGACCTCTAGGAAACACACTGACTATTCCAATCCTTAAAGACCCACAGTACTTTCTACAACACTCATTATTTACTTGAAATTGCTCTGTACCTGGGTAATTTTTCATTGTCAACACCACATGGTGAACTTTCAAGCACCTAGATGCTATCTCAGGCATCTTTATTATACACAGCAGGCTGAGTGCTTAGTAAAATAATCTCAACAGACTCTTCCCCTGTGATCAAACCACTTTTGCAATTAAAGACATGGAGAAAGCTTCCATGTTTTTTCAGCAAACAAGCTGCAAATATATCAGGGCCAGGTGATCTGTGGCAAAATGAAGTCTGAAACCACATCTAGGGAAAACCCCTTCCTGCCACTGCAGTGCTGTGAGCAACCCTCAACTTCCCAGATCAAATTATACTAATGAATTTTCTATAAGAAATCTGCCAATAGGATAGTGTGTGAGCACAGGATTTGGAGTCATATATTTTGACTGTTTCCATTTCTAAAAAGCAGATACTGTAACGCCTTCTTCATGGGTATATAAAAAACAGCATCCATTCTAGTATTTAACGGAACTGTCACATTCTCTTAAATATTTCTAAATGAAAACACAAAGTCATAAAATAGAACAAAATGTCCAGTTACAGAAGAATGCTGCATTAAATTATCAGGTAGCAGTATTTATAATATTCTAAATCACCTATGTCAACAACACAGATGAGAAGAGTGAAAAAAATTCTACTCTAAAGTTTATCCTTCTCTGACATTTCCCCCTTGCAATTTTTTTCTTTCACTTATCAGTAGAAGCAAACGGGCACAATTATTCCCCAAAAGAAATCTGTGGAAAACACAACTTAATCTAGTCAGATTGGTCCTAAAAATATAGTATTCCAGCTTAGAGTTCAAAAATATGAACATAAACTTAGGAAATTAAGACGATGGCGATCATCTCTTCTGATAATGAGTCAGTAACTTCAAATTAAGAGTTGTTCCAACTGGAAGCTGGCAGCCACACATGGTCTAAAACGGTTTGTTTACAGCACTGACCAGACCAAACAGTTTAATCTTTCGTAGGATTCACCCGACATTCCACGATCAACTGACTACTCTGAAGCAGTACAGCTGCTGGATGTTCAATAACTACATAAATTAAGCCCAAGTGAGTTTCCTTTTAATGGAAAAAGAACAACAACAAAAAGCAGTGGGCCAAGCCTTTGGTATTAGTTTTGTTTGGAGCTCTTAATTAAAACGTCGCTCATCCAGGAAAGAAGAAAAACCCCTGCTACTTGGGGTTAAAAATTTACGCTTAGGAAAGGAGGCGAAAATTCACAAAGACAGATGGGATTGCTCTCGGGATGTACAGGCAGGCGGGATTTAGTAGGAAGGGTGCGTAGAAAGAAAAGGGAATGTTAATGTTTGTAATCACCGAACTTTTATCAACGCCAAAGCGTTGCGATTTCTGGGTGAAAAAGTTCTCTGAGTAGGAGAAATCAAGAGCAGGGAGTGAAGAGTCAAGTCTGGGGCGGGAGGCATTTCAGGGGATACCCAAGACCACACTTTTTGGAGCCATGTCCATAGTTGGTTCAGGGGACAAGAGGCACGGGGACTGGGAGAACGCGGGACGCGGTCACCCAGGGCGAGCGATCCCGAGGGAACTTTGGGGTGGGGGCTCCGGAACTGTGGGTCAGGAACGCGGCTAGGGAAGACGAGTGACAACGCCAGGGAAGTAAGTGGGAGCCGGGAGCGGGGACGCCAGGAATGCGGGGATTCCCGAGCCGGCCTGACGGGCTCCGGGCGTGCGCGCTCCAGCCCGGCCCCTCTGGGCCCCGGGTGCCAGGTGGCGGCCGCGCCAGGCAACCCGCACCCTCCCGCCCCGGGGCCCTGCCCTCCTCACCTCAGGACGCGAGCCTCGCCGCTTCTGTGCGTCCCTCAGCCTCGCGGACCCGGGACCACTCCGCCGGCCCCTCCGCTGAGCCGTAGCCCGGCTGACTCGAAACTCTGGCCTCCCGACGGCACACGCCGCCCTCCGCCAGACGCCGCCGCCGCCGCCGCCGACCAAGGCTCTCCTGGTCCCGCCCCCTTGCGGCCCCACCCCCAATGACGGAGCCCTGGAGCTGATTGGCTCTGGTCAGTCCCGGAGCGTATGGCCATTGGTCCGGGGTCGCAGGAGACGAAGGGGCGGGACTGCGTGCCTCTGCGATTCCCGTAACGCGGCTCCCGGCATCCCGGATTCTGGTGGCTGATCCCGGTCTCCTCTCCCAGACGAGATCCAAGGCTTCCCTGCTGCTCCTCCGCGGGTGGCCGGGGCGGAAGGTTCCTTTTTCCCCAGGGAAATGGGGTCGCGGACCGCAGCCCGGATGTCGCCCACGATCCCTCTCGCCCGGCCTCGGCTGCCTCCCTGGGCGGTCTTCCCCGAGGGCCCGCGAGCCTCCGGAGATGGCCTGGAGGCCCTTGGGACTCTGGAGGCCGGGAGCTCCCTGGGGACAGGGCAGGGCTTTAGTGGCGGTGACTGCACACCCCAGTGGTGACTGATTCAATCCTAGGCTTAAGTAAACGAACCTTGCTGCTGTTCTATTTTTTGTTGTTAGTAAATGAGTTTGGGTGTGATTGATTGATCAGTGAGTCCCAGAACTGGTGACCTGCCAAGAAACTCGTGTTTTTGTGGTTTGCCTCTCCTGATTTGTGATTAGAAATACCGCGGAAAAACCAATTTCAGTAAATTTACCACCCTCCTAGGCTGGAAAATGAACCTAAAGGTGTTTTTGTGTGTGTGAGAGAGGGGGGGGGGAGGGAGAGAGGGAAAGAGACAGAGACAGAGATAGAGAGACAGAGAGAGATGAGAAGCTTAAAAGAAGATAAGGGATATGAATCTCGGAAGAAACACTCAGTTTTTGTTGGTCAGCTGAGCACGGAGCCTGCCTGGAGTGTGGTTGGTATGATCAGTGTAACTCCAGTGAAGAAAACGGCTTCTGTCATTCCCAACACCTACCTTTTTCTAATTGTTTTTCTTCTAGTCTAAAGGAGAGAACACAATTGGATGGATGGACGGGTGTATGGGAAGAGTTGGGGGACAGCGAATAATATGGTAAAACTATACCGTATAAAATTTGCAATAAAATGTTTTTTAAAAGATTAAATGTGAAGAAATGATTTAAAAAGATGGACTGCAGGCAAGGGACTTTTGGAAGAATGGTAGCCCATGATAACGATTTAAGGAGCAAATCATACCCATAATTAGTAATTTTAAAGTCCTTTGTTATGTTGAAGCTTCAGCTGGAATAAAATGGATCAAAATGCAATATCTCTCTCCCTGGCCCCTTTTCCTCCTCTCCTGCATATCTCTATACCCCCAGCTCTAAATTATAACCCCTTAGCCGTTGGTGAGATACTTTGAAGACACACTTTAAAGGAGTCCCAGACACACTTGAGGTTAATGCTTCAAACTAAAGATGTGTTTGGCTCTTTCTGGCTGCTGCCTGCTAACCTTCAGGGTGTGACAAGACAGATGGGGTGAAAAGAGTTCTGAGAGACGCTGTTCTGTTGAAACTCTTACAAGGGTGTGGCTAACATGGCTTTGGGGCCATGCATAGCAGTTCTGGGGTGCTTCTGCTTCCAGACCATCTACGCGCAGGTCCTAGCACTGCTTCCATCGCTGTGACCCTGGAAAAGTCCTGAGTTTCTTTGTCTGCAAAATGAGGATAAAGCTTGTGACCTGCTAAGTTGCAAGAATGCAGTTATTTAAAATTATTTAAAACACAGAAAGGGCTTGACACCTGGTAGGCGTTCAGTAAATGTCAGTTACCCTTGATTGTCTCTTATGTCACTGCTTCTCAGATCTTTCTGCATTGCAGCATTTATTTAAAATTCTGTTTCTCTGGGGTGATCACTGGTAGAAGGAGGTCAGTATTGTATAACACATTCACCTGCCTTGACCCATTGGTGGAGCACACAAAGGTCTATGCAGCCCCTCACACATATGTACTTATCACTTTATTTGTGGTTGTCAGTATTGGCTCACCTCAGGCCTTGACACTAAGAAACTCACATTTTGTGAGAGTAATTAAAATCCTAAGCAAAGGGGCCTGAGAGATCCCTCAGCAGTTAAAACACTTGATGCTCTTGCAAAGGACCCAGGTTCGATTCCCAGCACCCGTATCAGGTGGCTCACAGATGCTGTAAGTTCAGTTCAAGGGGATCCAATATCCTCTTCTGACCTCCAAGGATGCCTGCATACACATGGTGAACATAAACTCAAAAGGACACACACATTGCAAGAAAATAAAACAACCTTGATAAACCATCCTAAACAGAAAAGATTAATCAGTGTTGGACAAAGAACTCCAGAGCTGCAAGTCACTAGGAAACACCCACTCTGTGGAGGTTGCTTGATGTTCCAGACCCCTATGTAGAACTCTTGATCCTGAAGTGACCACTTTCTGGTTAAGAATTTGTCATTAGACAGCCCTGTCAAACCTTGCAACGTGCACTTTTTTTTTTTCAGTTGTAACATCTTGTTTCTAAATGTGATTGATAACAAGTACTGGTTTGTGGAAGGATGGATGGGAAGAAGACTGGGCGGAGGAGTGTCACATGACCCACCCACCAAGTGGGTGAACAGAGCTAATGACACATGCTATAGGATGGATGACGGTGACAAATGTTGAAGACAAACTTTACCTGCTTCTGTTTACTAAGTCTGGACCTGACCAGGATATAAGTATAATTCCTGTCCGTGCCCTGTAATGTTTCTGAAAGTCTGTGGCAGTCCTGCAGCCAATCACACACCCTGTTACCTAATGATTTCAGTTGATGATTCAGTGACTGCTCCCAGCTCACAAACTCTCATCCTTTTCCAGTGATCATTGCCTTCGTTTTATATGCAAGCAGCACACAGGTAAAGCTTCATCTTCATCTTAGTCATTTAATGAAATTACTCCAGCTCCCAAACTTGGGGCTGTGTTTCATTCTCAGTATCCTTAGCTACCTACATGTATACCTCCCTTTTGGGCTCCCTCCCACGGAATCTGCAATTTGTCCTCAGTGTGACCTCCAGACTTTGTTCTCAGAGCTCATCAGTTATTTCCTACCTGTTCTTACCTTCCTAAGCAATGAGAAACTTTTTAACTGGCCATTTTAAACATCCTCCCACTTGTACCTTCAGTTCTCTTGCTCTTCAGCCGTATTTGCCTTATCAACTTAGTTGCTAACAATTTCCCCTCACCTTAGATTGTACCCAGTGCTTATCTTAGTACAGAAATGCATCTCGGGAAAGAGCAGGTCTACCACTTGTGAACATCTTTGACTTACTTCTTCAATTTAGGATGCAACTACTGAAGACGTGTATCCATTTCCTCTTTATCTTTCTGTCTCCCCAAAAGGAAGGTCCTTCACAAAAGTGTCCATAAGGAATATTATTTTATATTCAGTCAAACTTTGCTTAAGATCTTCATCTGGAGAATGGAATTATATCAAGCAGTGGGTTATATTTGGGGGTCCGAAAGTCCAGGAATTAAGAGGGTACTAATTGGTCCATAAGCATGTGAGTGAGGCCCATCTTGGAACTTTAAGATCAGCCTGGCCATGAGATGAATAAGTGACCCCAACCAATGACACCGAGGCAGAATTGTCTAGATCAACCCTGCCCCAATCTCCAGCTCAGAAATTATAGTACTTGCTAAAATGTAACAGCAAATTACTGTTTTTTAAGAGCAGTAAATAAAATAAAATCCCTCAAACTAATCATGCAAAAAACTGAAAATCTGGCAGTGGTCATCCACAACCAGGCCTCTTCTCCTCAGCCTTATCTCCTAATGTGACCTCCAGCTGTAGGTGCTTTGGGGGCTCATATTACCAATTTGTTAATGGTTCCTGGGCCAAGATCCAATACCCTGTTTCCTGCTTCCATGCCAAGAAGAAGACAGCTTATGTTGTTCTCATGGCCTGTTATGGCCTAACTTGCTTGCCAGTTTTCAATATTAATCTAAGGACTTGTTTCCTTCCAGAAGTTGACTTTCGACCATGAGAAACTCACAGCAAAAAAATTCAAATAATTTCAAATGAATGACCTTTCATCTTAGAAAAGGAATTGAGGAGGTTGGAGACTTTTGACCACAGGGGAAAAGAGGGAGTTGGAGTAAAAGAGAAGAGTGTGTGATTTGGGTGTGATAATGATTGTGTGTGACTCCCCGAAGGTTTGGTTGTCAGTGTGGCGATGTTGAGAGGAGACGGCACCTTGAAAAGTTGGTGCCTAGTGGAAGGTGGTCATGTTGCAGAGGCAGTGCCTCAGAGTGAATCACTGTTGATCTCATTAGAGAAGGATGCTGTGGAGCCAGCCCCAAGTGCATGGCCTCATCGACACATGGCTTTTCCTCCTACTGCCATGCCATCTTGTGATGCAGCCAGTCAGGATACCTTTACCAGAAGCCAGACAGATGTACTCACTCCATCTTGGACTTTCAGCCTTCAAGAATGAGCTTTTCTTTATAAAACAAAAACAAAACAACCAACATCTGGTATTGTGTTATAGCCACACAAATGAATACACCTTATTACATGGCAAACTAGAAAATTTATGAATCACCTGTGTGTGTGTGTGTGTGTGTGTGTGTGTGTGTGTGTGTGTGTGTGTGTGTTTGGATGCATGTGGTTGTGTCTGTGTGCATATGGAGGTCAGAGGCCAGAAGTCTACAGAGGATATGTTTCTCTATTGCTCCTCACCTTGATTTTGAGAAAGGGACTCTCACTAGACCTGAAGTCAACTGATTAGTCTGGCTAGCCAGCAAGCAGTCAGAATCTGCCTCCCAATCCCCCTAGTGCTGGAGTTAGAGACAGGTGCCTGTACACTTGGCTTTCATGTGGATTATGGAGACCCAAACTCAGGCCTTCACACTTGGGTAGCAACAACTTTATCCTTGAGTCATCTCCCAGTCCCTGAAGCAAGTTCTTGAAAGATGAACTCAGCAGTTGAGAACTTGGAGGGAGGTAGTTCCAAGAAGAGGGATCAGCAAGACAAAAAAAAAATAAGACCATGAAAAGACAAAGTATCAAGTAATGAGAG